GAGTTGAAAACCCTTTCGGGCGATCGAGTTACGAATGTTCTACGCCGAATATTCCAGAAATCGACGCGGGTTCAAAAGGTGCTTCGTGTGGCGGTTTAGAGTCAGTCTCGCCCAAACGCTTGATCCTGCTGTTTCGCCGACACCGACGCCTGCGACGCTTGTCTTTCCCTATTTTGTTTCGAGTTACAAGTTCGCCCCATTTAACGCTTAGTTTGTTCAGTTATTCGCCGCCTCATCATTTTTTATTTGGGACAATATTCTGCTCCTTATAATATGACAGCATAAAATAACCATACGATGCTTTTCTTTTTTTTTTTTTGCCGTTTTGTGTTGTTGCGTGCTAATAGACCATTCTGGTAAACCAGATTTGCGCAGCTGTGAAATTGTCGTTGCCAATGACGTCGATACAAATTAAGCAATGCGGAAGCATCTTTAAAAGTAATTGAATTACATTTCTAAATATTTGCACTCTACTCAAGATACTTTACAGTGAAAGTGACTTGAGTAGTATTTTAAATACCTTATGAAGCAGGTATTTAGTAACTTAACTTAAATACTTTTGTCGAGTATTTCGTCCAACACTGATCTGTACTAAACGAGACACAATCCTAGAGAAATTCAAAAAGCAAAGGTTGTAAACAAAAGACCTTGATTACGGCGGGAACAGCAGCGCTGTGTATGTGAACGAGCATCTAACTAGCTCAAAGAAAAAGCTACTGGGCGCTGCGGTTGCCAAGAAGAAAAGCGATGGATGTAAGTTTGTCTTGTGTGCAGGTGGGAAGATCTTTGCGGCAAAAGGACGAGAACGCAAACATTCTCCGGAGCACTAACATGCCCGATGTCGAAAAAATAACGAATTAAATAAAATTATTGAGCTTTCGAAGCCTGTACAAGACTGAGTATGGACAATATGTGACCTGATTGTTGCTTGTTGATTGTCAGGCATTCAATAACAAAGTATAAAAACGGCAAGGGACAGTTCTCGACTATACATTTTAACATGAGGAGTATTAGAATATAAAGTAGAGGACCTTTAAGTATTATTAAACTCTCTGAGTGTGGAATTTAATACTATAGCACTCACGGAAACATGGTTAACAAAAGAAAACAGACCACAGCAACTTCAGGGGTACACGTGTAAAAGAAGGTGGCGGTATAGCCCTTTATCTGAAAAACTACTTCCACTATCAAGTAATTGATAATTTAACCAATTATACCAGAATATATGAAAACATTTAAAGTTTGTTTGTTAACATATTGAACGCAGTAGTGGCTGTTTTGTACAGACCGCGTCTTCTGGCAATATGTTTGAATTTTCCTTGATAGTGCACTATGTTACCTAGGAACTGTAAAAACGTCATTTTTTTATTCTTAGAGATATAAATATAGATACAATTTTGGACGATCTACATGCTAGAGAATTCCGCGATGTCCCACACCAGTAATGCCTGTAGCAACGTAATAACACTACCAACCAGGGTGACCACAGACACTGCAACGTTTCTTGATGTCTGTATTACGAACATTGAAAACATTGATAACAGTCACACTACGGTTGGTGCACTTTTGTACGATATTAGTGATTATGTGCCTATCTTTTGCTTGTGATCTTCTTTAGGTAAGGAAAAAAACAGTTGTACATACATCTTTCGGCATCGGACCGTAAATGAGGAAACGCTAAGTAATTTTGGCGTCTTTATAGAGCAAGAAAACTGGAATGACATTTACGAAGAGCATAACGCTTTAGCTGTCCATAAAAGCTTCGTGGCTAAATTGAAACACTGCTATAATTCAGCTTTCTCTTTACGGCGAAGTAAAACCGAACGTAAAAAAAAAGAGAAAACCATGGATAACTGGAGACCTATATAAAAGGATAAAAGTAAAAAATGCATATCATGCTTTTATTCAGAGTCGTGATCCCCGTATATTAATTGAATTAAAAAAAATACAGAAACCAACTAAACTCGTACCTAAAAGAGGCGAAATGTGATTACCATCAAAATAAATTTCTGCATATTCACAATGATCATAAGAGAGTATGGGACATGATAAACAACATAACGAATCGAAAGCAAGCCCATTCTAGTTTGAAAAAAAATCATGATAGATAATGCAAACGTCACCGGGTGAGAACTAGCAGATGAAATGAAGCGGCACTTCGTTAACATAATAACTTATACAGGGGAAAATGCAGATATGGCGAAATGCGTGCTCGGAAAAAATCAACTAGAATCAATCATGTTTTTTTTCCAGCGAAGCCGTTGGAAATCGACAGAATCATTAGAAATTTAAAAAATGATGTTGCCTCTGGCGATGACGAAATAAAAGTCTTACCAATTAAGCACACTGTGAGCATCATTAGCTCTATATTAACCCATTTAATAAATATCGCACTTCCGTCTGGCGAATTTCCCGATGAGTTAAAAATAGCCAAAGTTATTATCGTGTAAAAGGAAGCGGTGTGACCACCATTAATAATGATAGACCAATTTCAGTCCTACTGGTTTTTTCGAAGACCTTTGAGAGAGTTATTATAATAGGTTAACCTTTTTTTTTTTCCAGAAGCGTCAAATAATATCACAGGCTCAATATAGATTTCAGAAAAAAAAGTCTGCAGAACTATAGCCCTGACTGAAATTTAAAAAAAATTGTTGAGAGTATTGAAATTAAGTTGTATACACTTGGCCTATTCCTATATTTAAGAAAAGTTTTTGATACTGTGCAACACAATATTCTACTAGAAAAGCTTAAAACTTGCGGAGTTCGAGGAGTTACATTAAAACTAATCAAATCCTATCTTAAAAATCGCTGTCAATATGTTTATATCAATAATCAATCACCTAGTAAAATGAAAATATAAAACAGCGTTCCTCAGGGTTCTGTCCTGGGGCGCCTCTGTCGTTCCTTGTATATATTAGTGATATAACAAATATACCCGGATCTCCTCACTTAATAGTATATGCGGACGATAGAAATGTATTTTTCTCTGGTTTTACAGAATAATAGTGTTCAGAAAATTCTGCAAATGCCATCCTCTTGAACCTATCAAATTGGCTACAAATCAATCGTTTAAGTTTATATACAAGTAAAACTAAGTATATAATTTCTAGACCAGTAAATGAAAGAGATTGCAGCTCTATCAATATAATGTTTGATGGCACCGTACTAAAGCAAGTAAGAGGTCAAAATTTTGAGTATATGGTTTTCCGAGGACCTATCATGGAATACCCATGTTAATAAACTTAAAACTGAATTATCTCGAATTACTGGCAGCCTATATAAAATACAAACTTAGTGCCTACCTGGTTAAAACAAACGTTATAACTATTCCTTATTTTACACTAAAATTAGTTTCGGTATCTTGGTCTTGGGAACAACAACAGCTTCGAACAACAATAAAATAATTTTATTACAAAAGAGAATACTAAGCATACGTGAAAACTATAGAGGTGATAAAAGAAACTTTAGCACGCAGCCACTCTTTGTAAAATATAATATGCTCAAGGCAGACCAAGTTTACTGCTTTAAACTGTTACAATGGATACATAAAAACGAACTGTGCACCACCCGAACAAGTAGCTTCGAGATCCTAAGATAAAAATGCTCACCATAAAAACAAGTTATGGCCGACAAACTTTAACTTTTCAAATAATTAAAATTTTAAACAATGCAAATATAAACATAGACTATAATACAACTTTTTATAAATTCAAATGTAAATGCAGAACGCTTCTGGTAGGCGGTGCCATTCCATTTTCATTGGGAAGTTATCTTTTTATTTTTTGATTTCTGAAATTACCTTCTTCGTGATCTTTATGTGTATAAATTTAGACCATTTCTTTTTCTTGGTCAAAGTTCTATACTAGTTACCTACCTGAATGTAGATTTAATGACGTTATTAATATGATGTGTGACGCTTGTTGTTTTACTATTTCAGCTGATTGCCGGTGTATAATCTTCACTCTGCTTTTTTGCCTCGTTGCTTTGTTGTTATTGACGGTGCGTTTTGCCTGACTCGTGCGATCCTGTGATTGCGGCTTCCAGAGTCTGTATATTAGTTCTGCTTTGTTGCTTTGCTGTTGTATATGTCACTCCTACCTTATTTGCCACGGCAGAAGTGTTGGGGGGCCACGAGGCTCCGTCAGGCACTTGTGCCGTTATCTCCGCCCCCCGTGCGGAAAAGTATCCGCAAAACAAATAAAGACGAAACAAATATGCAAAATTCTTGCCAGCTATCATCATCATGTCATTCGGAGCCGCCATATTGGAGGGTTTTCACATCTTCCAGCTGTGGACGAGGCGCATATGCATTTAACTCGGTTTTCACAATATTAGGGGAAAATATTTGTGCACTTAATGGGTTGCTGTTTAGTTTCGGATCAAAAAAAGAAAAAAGAAAGGCGGTAGCGAAATTCTAAAAAAAGAAATTGTCAGCAACGAGGTCCCAACACTCGTCACTTGAGCAGTGAACTTGGCCATCCAGGTCAGTAAACGGTCTTTATCGAGGGCACTGTCTGAAGGGATCGCACTGAACTGGCAGCACGTGATCATATTTTAGATCTACGACTCTCACTTCGATGAGACCATTGTCTCTCGGGCGAAACTAAAGAAACGGGAACCCCCAATGTGACGCAAATTTGATAATTGATCATAAAACACTATATGGCGTTTTTTTCTTCATATTATTCAGGCACCAAGGAGCACGCCGCGAGTGTAGTTCCACGGGCTGCACATGTTGGAGTTTGTGCAGTAACTATTCTGAAAAAAAAATCGAAAATAAATAGCACTTTGCATGAGTGTTCCTAGATGCCTTATTTTGATTACTTACCTCGATATTTTTTTATACAGATTTGGCAGCCTAAGTTTTCAGCATTCTCCTTGGTGCTCAACTAATTTAGCAAAAGGCCTATTGGGGTCCGAACCATGACGCAAGGAAGCTGTTTGACTCCACACCTTACGTGAACGTTGAGGTCAAGAATAAATGTGTGCAGATGACTCACTTGCAGGTAGAGTCGTCCCCAGGGAGTCGGCAGCACAACTCGCAAGCTTTAGTCACGGGATCGCGAGGCCTGCGCTTGCACTGGCACGACTGGAGGCCGTAGGCGATGCAGATTGAGCCCGTGCACTCCTGTGAGTCAAAGTCAAATCACTCTGTCTTCTTTCTTTCATCTGATGAGCTTGGAAAGCTAGAATTTAATTGAGGGCTACAGTCTTTCCGGAATAGTATAAAACCTTGAGTCTGAAATCTGAAAGAAATGCTGTGTCATTTCTTGACTTACTATAGCCACATCCACCGACTGAATAGTAGTAATAAACATTTTAGAATTTGTTGAAAAAATAAAAAAATAAAGGACGAAAGTACCCCAATGCCTGATTTCAAATGTAACTACGCATGAGACGTCTTTAATTTGTGATGACTTCAGAAGCTTCTCGTGATGTATGGAATCTATTAGGTTTTCATAATATCGTACCAGGTTGGCTCGGGAAAACATTCAGGGTTTTTTCAGCCGTGCATAAATGAACCGTGAATCAGAGAATTATCTAACTTTACAAGTAAATGGCCCCAGCAGGAAAGTTGGGCGGGAAAGTTTCAACCCCATATGTTTCCTGAAGCAGATGACAGAAGCGATTTTCTGATGATTTTGGGTCAAAGGAAAGCGACCTTCATTCGTAACAGACGAAGGCTGGCTATTTAGGTTCGCGGCTTATAGATGACGCTAGTTATCAGTTATATGTCGTTCCACGTGTTCTACGAAATAGTGTTTCTGCGTGGAAACCACCCATAGCGAGCTAGTCGCGTACAAATGACAGCTAGCGTCATCTGTGTGTCCCGATGTCAAGTAGCCGGCATACGTCTGCTGTGGATGGAGGAGGGTGGCGTTTCATCGAACTCCTAAAGAAATTGTTTTCAACCTTTGATTCAGGCAACGTATTTGTCTGAAATATTCGGATTCTGTTTCCACACCTGGGTCAACCTTCCGGGTAAGGTTTAGCGTTCTCTGATGCACGGTTCATTCATCTGTCCTATCGCATAGCCCAGGCAGAGGATGATCTGAGCTATCTGCCGAGGCTAACTTCTTCCTTCGCACCATCCTCTGCATCTCTTTCCATGACAGCGTCCAGCAGCAAGTATGTACAGAAAAGTTAGAAGCATCGAGTACACGACTCGGAAATATTATTTTGGAAGGATTGTTTCAAACCAGCAAATTCTGATACTTGGCTAGACAGATAAAATCGAGTAGCCTTAAAACTCCTGGAAGCCAAAGTCAAATAGAAGACTACAATTGTCCATGCTCCATCTAAAAAAAGAACCTGAAGAGTGCAGACAAGGGTACAAACCTGTGTACCAAGATCAAAAGAATGTTCTGTCTGTAGGAGAATTCGAGCATAACAGGCACTTTCCACAGCCACGCGCTTGCACTCGTGCGTGCTTTTGTCAGCACTGCAGATATTTGTGAGAGTACACATCAAAGTTTTGAGGCGTATTAGATATTGCAAACAGCTAGGCTGAAACAGTGTAGTAGCAAGTGGCCCACCATTGTTGGCGTTGAAACTCGTCGCCGACACGTTTTTCCTGTGCGTGTTTGTAACGTCCAAGAAAAATCATTTAATAATTTAATCATCTATTGGGTACTCATAAGGCAAGGCCCCAGTAAAATTGAAGATTTCAAGATTAGCTGGCCCTGGCCAGTTACCAATAATACTGATAAGGAAATAAATAAGAGAGACTAAAGTGCTAACGATCTTTCTAAAGTGTTCAGGAACGGCACAGCATCAGCGAGGGGTCTGCATCTTGTAATGGCTGATGACGTTCACAATGAGCGTTTCGTATAGTTGTGGAACAAGGCATATCATGTGTGTTCATGCAGCCGATACCATATATCATAATCTCGGTATCAATGAAAAAAAAATCAAAGAGTTTTGACCGATAAAAAGCGCTCACGCTTTAGCAAATTCGGAGAAAGTGACTTGGACTGGTCATCTTATCTAGCTGGTTCATTTTTAAATAGCAGTATCCCTTTAGAAGAAATAGTGAACGAAAACATTAAAGATATGAAGATAACCCCAAGGCAGACAGACTATCCCAACTACTCTCATACATGGTATGTTCTAGCATGTTTTTAAACATAATTGCTTTTATTGTGTGGGAGAAAGCACTATTTAAGGTAATAACTAACTAATGAACTAATAAGCATCACATATGCATCGCGCGACGCGGTTAAACAAACACCGCAGAGGTTTTATATTTTTGCATTTTATTTAGACAGAGTGCTTTGTTCAATACCCTGCCAGGAGGAATAAGCTCCTATCAATGACATTTTGTTATGCCAATAGCTGTGAATGAAGGTGCTTCACTTGTAACGGAAAAGATAAAATAAAAATAAAACCGCGATCGCTCGTCCTTCCTGACTGACATCCTCTCTGTACGTGAATACGAAGCGACTGCGTGAGGCTGAAGATTAGCTTACCCCCATGTAGCAGACGAACTCTTCGTTGCAGATGGTTTTGTTTGGTTTGCTCGTCGAGGAAGGGCACTGGGGCCCGTCGCCAGTGAAGCCGTCGTTAAGGAGACAGCTCTTCCGAGAGACTGAGCGTGCAAGTACTCCCGCGTGAGAAGAGGGCTCTTAGGAAGTTGGTAAGGGGCCTCGAGCAAACAAGGATATTCGCAGTAGCTGGCGCTTCGGCAGCCGTTGTCGTCGCGGCACTTCTCGCCAAGTTTCAACACGCAGTCCTGTGTGCAGCACGGGCCTTGGCTTGGACTGCGAGCAAACGAGACAAGACGGGGTAGCACGTTAAAAACAATACGACTGGTGCTTGACGAAATTTGTGGTCTGGTAAGAGCGTACCCTACTCTCATTCTTGCGTGTATCTTTTTAAAAATACTTAGTGCACTGCGTTGCAATCTACCAGCACCGCTAAAGTATCCCCTCTGCATAAAGGCACCGATAATCATTCCCTAGATAATTTATGGACAATGTTAGAAAAGTTGCGCTTCCCGTGAAGTTTCGTGCAAAGTAACACATTGTGTCTGCAAAAAGATGCCTCTCTCCGATCCAACTCAATTTTTTCTCCAGCTGGAGACGGTTGTAGAAACAGTGTCGTATTCTTTTTACTAACAATTTTTATTTTAATGTTGATCTGGGATCTTAGATGTACAACATTCTGTTTTTGCGAAGCTTATAACATCGAGTTAAAAACTACCGCCTAAGCTTTTTGTCTTAAGAGATACTCTGCAATTTGTAGCATGCAGCGGTACTAGTTCCTTTTTAGCATGCGTTGATTCAGAGCTATTTCAGGGGTCCATTTTACGTACGTTACCTTCTTCGATTTCACAACAACCTCAACGTTGTTCTTCATTTATGCCTTAGTATGATCTTACAACTGTGATATTTACTGATTAATACGTAGAAACTCTAGAGCATGCTGAGTATTGTCAACTGACAGCCGCTACCGTATAACAGACTATCTTTCATTAGACTTCTGGTCAGTGGCACTCAATAATAACAGAAGGAAAACGTGAGCATGCCCATCAAGCTGACTTCACTGCGACTGGTATGCCTCAACAACACCCTTACATCCTGTAGATTTCTGCCAGTGTTTGGACATCATGTTAAGCACCCATGTACTAATGGACAAAGAGCGCGTTGGTGCGGGTCAAGACTGAAGAAATAATAAACCTGCGGGACGAAGACGACTCAACCGCTTCTTTCAAGATGTGGTTGTGTCGTCATCGTCGAACATGTTGATTATTTATTCAGTCTTGACAAGCACCCACCTTTCGCAGATGCTACAGGTTAATTACGCGATGAATAACGGTAACTGAACGGTTGGTTATCTTCTACCTTTTCAACCCCATTTCCACTTCAACTTCGCTGCACGGTAAATCGCCATCTAAACCGGTGCAATGCCGCGTGAGTGGCACGTGACCTTCCGGAGGGGTGCAGGAATGCGCGGGGCGTGTAGTTACGTGATAAGTTCATAGCGTTTGATTCGCTGGGATGGCTTGTAACGTTCATGCGGCCCATCGTAAAGTGAAAGGGAATGTATACATATCTTGCACGTGACATTATCGCACCGTGTTGGTGCTCATCCGTTCAAGTTCTTGCCAAGAAAAACAAACTCGGTGGTCTGAAATGTGGGCATATCGAAACTCTAACGCCCTATAGATGGCGGGGCGGTAGTTCCAAGATGGCGGAAGAGGTGGGATAGGTTTGCTTGGGAGAAGAGCGTGTTGGTTTAAGTCATGGCTGAAGAAAGAATAACAATTAAAACAAGGACAACACAACCACATCTTTCATGAAATATGTGGTCGTGTAGTCCCTGTTTTAATTGTTTTATTCTTTCTTCATTCATGAAATGGGATAGATTCTCCAGGACTTGCCATGCGCCTGCTCGCTGACGCTGGTCAGTGCGCTAAAAATGATATATTTGTCTACAAATGCAAAGCGGTCAGTGCAGGAGCATATATTACAGGTGACGGAGATGTTGATGTGCGTTAGGAAAACGAGCATGCTGATATATAAAAGTTGCAGAAATCTCAACTTGCGAAGCTTCGCGGAGGGCGAGAGCGTTTTGGGCACCTGCCACATCACTGTTTGTGGCAAAATATTCTTGAGGGTGATGAAGGTATTCTAGTGTTTGCGCTTGCTCTGGCCACTGAAAAGTGAGCCGCGCACGGAGACCATCAGGCTCCGGAAGAGCAGCGTTCATAGTATTGATGCCATCGTGTCACAGGCTCACAACTCGCTGCTCACCGTCGTCGCGGTTTTAGTGAATTGCAACACGTGATCAAACTGCACTATGATTACTAATAGAAAGATTTAGGATAGCGTGACCGCAGGCTACCGTACTGTGCAGCATTGAAACTGGAAGCTCGCGCTGCGCCCTTGAAGAATAATTCGTGCACCAGGAGCGTCGCCGTGCTCACAGTATTCGCGACTCCAGCAAAACGAACGGCACCTAGCGGGAAAACACTGAACTGGCCGGAACAGGTCCCTTCGCGATTTCTGCTCGTCTCTTCTGGCTTTCGTGTTTACATGTTGCCGGTGGTTTGCGGGACAGAACAGTTTTACCGATGACAGTGCCGTAACCGTAGTATCGCCTTGTGACCCAGGTTGCTCCGCACGCGACCTATCTAACCGCGTGAGCCAGACATTGTGTGTTTATCAACGTTCATCTGCACCGTGGAAAAACAGTGGGCAGTCCTTTCCTCGTTTCCTCGAAGAAAGTCAATCCTCTGGAAGTTCGCTTACTCCAACACATCGCCGCAGGTTCGAAACGTGGAAGATAAAACGCGGGGGAACCAATTTTGAGTCCAATGCTTGCATGCTGGTGCCCCAGCGTTGTGCGTTGAGCTGGCACATGGCACGGCACGACCTGGATTCGACCGCCATATTTGCCCAATAGTGGCGTCCCCTATAAGTCGCTGGAGTCGAGAATAGCCTGCGGTAATCCTATGCTAAAACTGCCTATTAGCATCATCGGTGCGCCTCAGTGGTTTTATGTATTCCTCTATCAAATAATAAATATTGTAATATACATTTGTGTACTATGTCATTTACAATGTTTTGGCCCGCCTCGCCAAGACGGGTTCTACGTTCTCGTCACGAACGGCTGGCTATCACAGACGCACTTGAAATGCTTCCAACGTTTCTTTATTTTTCCTTTGTAATTACCTGAAAGCAGTACGTGTATTCTGTCTTTTCAAAGTGCTTGAACAATTGGTCATGTTACTTGTGACCGACCGAACTACTTCTGGCAAAGAATATACTCCTTGTAGATCTGTCACGTTGAGCACGATTGAGCGTGCGACCACAAGACCAGATATCCGCGGCGTACACGATATACAAAAAGTACCTAATGAAATTAGAGATCTCGGTCCCTTCGTGCAACGCTGTTACGAGGCGGAATGAAATAATTTGTATTTTTTTGCGGTCCCTTTTTTCCTTTCAAATTCTTCGCGCACGAACACGCCGACCAGAACCATGAAGTAATAGCGGCACCAGGTAGCAAGGCCGACAGTCCCTGCCACCGTTTCCGCGCCGCCGCCGTCCCCGCTCCTCTGGTTCTTCGTTCGTCCGCGAGAGGGCGATCGGCGGGCTGGAGTTGTGGATCATACATGGGTAAATTACTTTCAAAATGTAATTTAATTACAATTACAATTACTTAGCCCCCAAAGTAGTTTAACTACAATTACAATTACTACTACGCGAAAGTAGTTCATTGCAATTACAAATTACTTTTTAAAAGTAATGCAATTACTTTACAATTACTTATTTCTGAGAGTTACCCACCTTGGGCCATATAACTGTAAACGAGTTATATGGCCGCTGTATAAATGTCACGCATTGTACTTTTCTTTTATGAAATTTGTTAAATGGATTATAGAACTTAATAGTTTGGAGTAATGAACTTCTGATTTCTTATATTCTCAAAAAATAAAAATAAATGGCGACAAAATTCACAGGTGCGAGGTGAATCTCTTTAGAGCTTGTGCAAATGGTATCCAAGTCAAACCAACAAAAAATAAACTTAAAAATAATACAAGGAAACAAATATGCGACAGTACTGGTATCATAAAACTCGGTGATTCGCTGCCTCTCCCTGTCTGTGGACTTGTAACATGTCGGATGTGGGTAACCGTAGCACGCGAACTGCGGTCGCTTCCACAAAACTAGTGTCACAATAGCAGCAACTCTCTTGCCAGGGATTCTGGGTTAATTCAGTGCACGGTAACACAAAAAAAAAAAAAAAAAGCTCCTGAGATATATAATAAATTTAGGATCGTCATGTCAGGCGAAGAAGCAAAGAAGCAGCAGGTCTAATTAACACGACTCACCCTGCCTTACTTCCAACTGTTGTTGCTAAACTGCGCTTCTTCGCCTCGATATTAGAGTAGCACGACCCTCTGTTAGTGGTACCAACATACGAGATAGAGGAGAAAGACGTGAAAACTCATAAAGAAAAGAGAATAATTACATGAACAAAAAAGTCCCCAAACTTGACTGAAATATGTAAGCGAATATGCTAGCGGCGAAGACGCGTAAGGAAAACTTCGAACCTCCCCGCCTCGACCGGATGATGTGATCGGAGCCAACCAGCTCGACTTCGACCCCCATACCCCCGTGTGGGAATGAGAAATAAGAAAGACCCCTAGAAACAGGAGCAACAGGAAGCGAACGAGACGAAGAGTCAGATTCAACTACGACAGGAACGAAAACGGACGCGAATGAAGCCCTCATTTATCAAATTATTTCTGAAATTCTTCATTAAATCGTTTTGCAGTCTACAAAATCCTTCATTCCGTTATATCCCAGCCTCCCTTTTCCCTTTTTTTGAGCAGGTTGGGAGACTCTCTCTTTTATTGCTTCGGTTGTGCTCTCGTCGCCGTGGCCAGGGGGGAAAAGCGCCACCGCCGCAAAATCTTGCAAAAGTAATTGTAATTCTGCCTGAAATTTAGCAATTACTGATGCTAGAAAGTAATTAAATTACAATTACAATTCCTTTCAGCCAAAAGTAATTATTACAATTACAAATTACTAGGAAAAGTAATTAAATTACAGTAATTTAATTACTGTAATTGAATTACTACCCAAGTATGTTGTGGATACGCATCAGCGGCAAAGCGACTACAATGAACGCGGACGTGACATTAATGCGAGCCATGCATTGAACTCGGCTTTAGCGAATCCCGGTTTCTGTTTGCGTTGCTGCATATAGCTCTAGCCCCGGGTGTTCGCTCACCTGCAGACGACGTTGGGTCTGAGCCTGCACGGGGGCTCGTCCCGGGGCGGGTTGGAGCGCATCGGGAAGCAGCACGGCTCCATGCAGTCGTCCTCCCATCCGCAGTCGCACTCCTCGCCCGCCTCCACCACCTCGTTTCCGCAGATAGCGTCCTGGGGCTCTGTCGGGAGAGGGACGGCAGGAGGGACGCTGAAGCTGAGCTGCGGCGTGCGCACACGTGTAGTAGAAACAGCGCCGATCCTAAAGTAGCTTGCCTTCCTTTCCAAAGTGGCACTAACACAAAATGGCAAACTTCTGAGATCTGGTGCCACTCACTAGCGCACTGATGGACCTGACTAGCACAAGGCACCACGCTGCGTCTCACCTTAAACCGTCGTAATAAAAAAATTAAAAAAAAGCGAATACAAGACTGTTTTTAGAGACAGTGTGTGAGGTCTTCTCAGTATGACAATCCTGTCTATTGGTCGTACAAAAACCGCCTGCAGACATGTTCGAAGCAAATACTTGAGGCGTGTCCGGACTCCGCAGGCAATTTTGTCATCATATCAGTAGGGAACACCGCGTCTTTTCTATGGTGTATGAGCACAGATCGTCGGAACAATTCGATAGGGGGGACGAACTTTTTCTGCCCGTCCCGGACGAGGGGGAAGGGCAGAAAAAAGTTCCCCTTCTTCTTTTTCCCTTTTTTTTTCCTTGTTCTGACGCCACCCTAAGAGCGAGTGAATGTGGCTCACAGCAGGGGACCCTGCGAGTCATCGCAGCCAATCCAATGCCGTGTAGGTACCACGTGACCTTCGGGAGGTGCACAGTGATGCACGTGTACGTCCAATGCGCTGGGCCCGGTGGGATGGCTAGTAGATGGCACAGTGTTAGTGCCCGTGCCTCTGACGGCACTGGACGAATCTCTGGGGTTGGAGCATAGATATTTGTCTGCAAAACTACGTAGTGAAGGCGACACTGAATACGCTTAAGTACAACCGGCCCTGCATTGACGCCACCAAGAAAATAAATCCTTCGATTGCCTAAGACGCTTTACGAGTGGTTGAAATGAATTCCCTAAGAGTCTGTGCGAAAGCTTTGAACTATCAAACTCGACGTGCTACGCGGGTGTCAAGGGCTGGTGAGCTTAATTTTTTAGCTTAACGGGAACCGAATTGAATGCGATGGTCAATTTTAGCGAATCTTGGCCCCTGAATACTGCCCAGTGTTCGTGGATGAGTAGAACCACAGAGTCGGACAGATTGGTCATATGTGTGTAGAAGAGGTGCCCAGACAAGGGAGAAAACACGGGGGGGGGGGGGGGGGGGGGGTAAGCTTCCAGTATACGCAATCTCTTTTGCTTAGCGTTGGGAATGAGAGAAAAAAGTCAACGTATTTTTTCCGTATATTGCTTTTGTCAGTTCTGACTATTTTCACCGTTAGGGCATGGATGCGTGTATTTGCTGTCTGAAGTGATATAAGGCTGCACGCACTAAGCAAAAAGGTGACATTAAGAAAGTAATTATCCAGATGCCTAATCAAAACCTTTCCCTTTTTCTGTGGCGAGTTTGCAGCCGATACCATACTTACATTTAATAGGGATCCCATATTCACCAGACGCCATATTTGTGGGTGCTGTTTAGAGCGCATGCTAAGAGCGAGCTCACATTAGCAGGTTGCCAAGACCGTCACTATTGATGCTATGGAATGCACGTTGCAAAAGAACTGTGGAAGCTCGCCATCAGCACGCGCTCAGCACTGGCGCACACAGCTATGGCTGCCAGTGAATACTCCCTATAAGAAGTTTTAGTAGATTGTTGATAACTTTGGTAACGATACCCGTTACTCCGCCGACGCTTTTGCGCGCGCGTCGTATACTCAATGGGTATCGTAAACGGAGGTGTCGGAACGAAAGTAACCGAGGCTCAGCACGGGCCCGCGTCAACCCGAAAGCCTAGACTCGGCCCGGCCCGCCGGCCGGGCCGGGTGGGGTAGCACGCGCTGTTCTCGGGCCCGGAACGGGCCCGAGCCCGAGAGGTGCTTTATCTCCTATGTCGAAGCAGCTCCAGACGGGCTGAACTTGGCCCAGGCAGGATAAGGTAAGCATCCATTGAGTTGGGCCCGTGTCGGGAAAGATTCAGAGTCAACGGGCTCGGACAGAACCGGGCCTTAAAAGGTAGGCCCAGGCAGTGCCCTAATCGGAGCGGTCTACTGAAACTCTCGCACGACACCGTTCGTATGGCGATTCGATTTTTATCCTGTGCCAGTAGCAATATAGCCAGTAGCAAAATGTATTAGTGAGAGCCCTCACTCATAACGACCCATTATTCATTAAAAAAAATGAAAGACGTTTAGAGCTCTCTGTAATGCGAAATTGGAGAGCAGCTCTTGAGAGGAGGAGAGGAGGGTATGCCTCTCCTCCTCCTTTTTACCCTTTTTTCCTCCTCACCTCCCATTTAGCGGAAAAATTTCGCTAGATTCCCGCTAAATTTAACGAAAATTTCCCCGCTAAATTTAACGAGATAGCTTTTCCCGCTAGATTTAGCGGGAAATTTAGCGAAAAGTTTTGCGATAAATTTAGTGGCAAATTTAGTGAAAATTTCCCCGCTAAATCTAGCGGGTTAAGTTTGGCCGCTAAATTTAGCGGGTTCAGTTTCCCCGCTAACTTTAGCGGGGAAATTGACGTCGTGTGGCCTCAACACCAATTCAGTTTCCCAGCTAAATTAAGCGGGGAAACTGCGACGTCCCATAATGCAACGTGCGCGGTTATGCCGACGCCGACGGCGACGCCGCTCAACCCGAAAACGGGTGTCTAAGAGCTGCGCTCTAAAAATAACAAACTCATTAACTTTTATTTGCGTTCATTTCACTGGGATCAGCACAGTTAGGGCGGATTTTGCATAGACGGTCAGGCAAGAAGATATGAGTGGACTTGTATACGCAAACACAGAGGACGAACACGAAGGCGTAGATAAGAACAAGCGCGTAGGGATTTTAATTTTTGTTTTTAATATTTAACTTAATATTGTGGGATTGGAACACGAGGGTGTGACATGATAACTCTATTGCATGGAGGTAGGAACCTTCTGGAGGCGACATGACGCCACCAGAGGTAAAGCCACGGGAGCCTTCCGGTTTGGAGGACTTGCGCCCTTACGTTCTCCTCAAAAGACGCCATTGGATGGAAAAGACACCCTTGGGGTTGTTAATTCATACTGACCGCGACATATACTTTTGGCTTCTGGGGGTTTTCTGGTTTGGCTGGCTTGAGCCGGTATGTCGCCTCCAGAAGCTTCCTATTTGCGTGCTTTATAGCATCTCTCTAAAACTTTGTCAATCGAAAAGCTGCGATTTCTAGTATTTGCGTATGCAATTAATAGGCAAATGTATCTTCGGATAAATTATGAACCTGATATGCGTTGTAATTTGGTCAATTAGACAAGGGGCGTACCCTTCCAAAATGTTTATCCGCGGTATAAAGACTGCGCGTAAGCCTCAATCTCAACGTGAGCGTTATGCTGTAGGTTGGCACAAATAAAGGGCGTAGCTGTAAAAATAACTCCGAACAATCGGTAGCTGCGCGTATGAGCTGAAATGTTTCTCAAGGGTGTATGTTAGCGGCCGATCTCACGTTGTGAAATTTTCACGGGTAGCTTGGTTTCTGTGGAGAAATCAAACACAGACAACAGGCTCTGCTTTCGATCGAGTACTTGCCGAGCACATCGGGAGACGGCGCCACAAGTACGAGTCCTCGCCTGCACGTTCGTCTGCCTCGGTGCCCGCCGTCGGAAATATCGACCATGGTTTAAATGTTCGCCGGATCGGGTGCACGCTTTGAAATTTCACCAGATATAATACCCCACAAAAATACACTTTGAACACAAATTTGAGCTACTTACGTGCAGGTGTTCGTTTCTCCGGCATGTTTAACCGGAAACTCTCCCTTTATACCACCCGATATATTCGATCACAAATTTGCACTGAGGGGAGCAATTATCCAAACCTGGAGGTGCTATCCTTACCCGAAAAGCATCCCTTGGTGTTCCTCGCTTTGGAGTTGAGAACAGCATTGATGCTTTTCAAGCTGCAGGGCGAGAACCGATTGTTGTTCCTCTTGTCCCCCGAGGTGGCGTGCGCGAACATGATGTAGTTCCCGTTTTCTCCCCCAGGGGTGCACATGCTGTCGTCCTTGGGGTCGTGCTGAAAGATATAACCAAATAACACGTCACAAATCATGTAGATAGCCCCAGTGAAAACAAAATGCATTCGTTGCACCACAATGCTAACGGCCTTCAAAAAAAAAAAAAAAAAGTTGTTATGAAAGACATATAGCACCTGGAACCGACCTGTTCTACATTTTCTGCAGAAAGACGGCATCTAGTGGTGGACGTACGGACTTACCTCTAAAGGCAACTGTTATCAGTCTTTATTTTATTTTTCAAAAGAGTTTTATCAAGTGAAAGCCCTTCCAAAGATAGCGCTTCTACTTTGGCACGTGAAGATCACCGCTCTCCCCTATCCTTCCTATTCTCGATTCTTCCACAGCACGTACGATACTCCAAAGAGGGACCCGCGCATGTGCACAACTTTTTGTGCCCTTTACATATCTCTAATCGCTGCACTTCATCATAAGAAAACACCGAAAGAAATAAGTGCGTTTCTCCTTTCGTTCGACCCATTAAGCCGTAGTCCAGCGGATAATACATCATACAAAAGACAGTCTATAAACGCTGCTTAGACGTAATAAAAAAAAAACAAAAAAAAAACGAGGACATAGAAGCACTTCTTATGAGTTGTGAATGCGAAAGCATGAATGTCGTTCTTCCGCTCCCTTAGTTCGTCTGCGGTGTATTGGCGTGGACGGCCATGTTTCGCTACTGCCGAGGTTGCGGCCACCAATGGCTATCTAGGAGCCGTTTTGCTCAGCCAATGGGAGAATAGGCATTTCTTTCGCGTTTTTTGGCGGTGACAGACGCGGCCGGCTCCGCCCTTGGGATAGTTATTGCATTAAAAGAAGAAGAAAAAAATCTGCATACATGTTTGAAGCACACAAAGCAGCCAACACCGTGCCTTCTGTATGATGGATTATAGATCAGTGTGCAAAGCGCACCCATGTCTGCAACCGCGTCCCCCCCGGCCGAACGTAGACCCCTTCGCTTCGGCTTTTCCTGTAACGCCGAAGCCTTGCAGTCGAGCGCACTTCACTCGTGGAGCCCCGCCGCGGCACGACGCACGCCTGGCCGCTCCTGCCGGGTGAGTTCATCGAACTCCGCTGGAACACATTGCTCTACTTTACGGTCGCCAACTGTGCGAGGCTCGGGTTTCCAAGGGGGGGCTGCGGATCCTCGCCTATCGCTCGTAAGCGTGGGAGCGCAGCGCTAGCCTAAGTGACTCTTTGCGGCGACGACTTGATCAATTTACTTTGTTTCCGGGTGGAAAAAAAAAATTATCCTTTTCTAAATTAAATAAGTAAAAAAAGGTTATTATTCGTCGCTAGATGTCCTTATAAACTGGAAGACTGGTTGGTGAATTTGTCCGACCACTGGAAAAACAAAATGCGGAAGAAAGAATTGTTGCAAATTTAGACTCCTAAAGTGCCTTTTAATTAAAATATATTTTTATTAATGTAAACTCAGTCATACAAAATAAGTTTAATTTTTTTAGTTAGTGTCAAAGCTTTGTAAGATTTTTTTTTCGCGTCTTCATACAATATTACGTCACTCGCGAAAGAGGTGGAAGGTAGAAAAAATGCTCTGTAATTTGCTCGGAAGAGTGCAATTTTTTTTTTCGTGCTCAGTGTGCTATAAATGCTTCTTGTTTGAAGATTTGTTCATATAAATAAAAAAATATTCACATTACGAGCATCAAATTATAAACGAACGGTAGATACAAAACATTTGGAGATAATCTTTGCCAGAATGGTTTGGTTTAAATCATCATCGCGATATAAATAATTAACTAAATTAAGATTGAAATCATCTTGATTTTTATTCTCTACCCTGCATCGTTCCGAGAAGCACTTCAACTAGCGTGGTTGGGCTTTAGGCCAAACGAAACTGACAAGGAGTTCTTTTTTTTTTTACGAAATTTTATTTTAACATAAGTAATATAACCCCGGTGTTTTGAGCAACTGTTCTTCCTTTCTATAGTAATAGGGCTCTTGATAATGCCGTAATGCAGCAAAAAGATGTACAACGCTTTATGGAATGGCTCGATTTAAATTTCTCAGGGGCAGAAATAAAATTATCTCTAGGTTTGAAGACTATCCTAGAGTGTCATTAAAATTTATTTACATTCGTTGTTCTTGTTTGTTCGCTCGTTTTACTTCGTAAAGCTGTTTGGCGACATTCTGTTGGGCGAGCGCATCGACATCTCGAAAAGTGGATTTCCGAAAATGCATTTTGAAGTCAAGCGCAAGGTGAAAACGGGTATATCTTGAAACCTCACGGGCATTCCGCACAAGATATATAAAAAAAGGAATTGAGATTCCCTCGTCACCCTAAAGGGGGGGGGGGGGGGGGGGGGGACAACTGAATCTGCTTGGAGGCTTTCAATATACTTTCTTTTCCTAAAACGCGGACGAGAAAGAAGGGAAAAAAGGTTTGAATTGCAGTTGCAGGTTTCTGCAGAGTTATCCTCAAATCGTATTTTGGGTAGAGAGCAAGAAAGACAAGGCTACGATTGTTGCCAGCATCTACGCTTTTATGGGTGTCTTTTTTGCTTTCACGTAACTGGAAATAACTATACACCACAGCGTCTTTCTTAGAAGAAGTGTCAAGCTCGTGTACCAAAGAGGGGCTAATCTACGAAGATAATCACTAAACACTCACGGCAAAGCAAATGTTGGCGGTAATTTGTCGCGCATGCTGTCAAACCAGAGCCAAGATTTTCTCAAAAACATACAAGGTTAACGAACGTCCTTCCATAAAATACTGCAATCCTTAAACATCGACCAAATGGCTCTTACGATAGGCACTGATTTTTTTTTTATGGGTAGCTTAATTTACAGGTGGCTGCAAGGTTTTAGATGAAGGAAAGAAGAACATGCAACCTTTTAAATCATCCTGGCGTGTGGTTTATTTTTGCGTTCTAAAAACTCGAATTCTACTGCGAAAGGTACAAGTTCTTATGAATCAATCTAGCAGATTGCACTCCCATAGGCCTTACGAACAGCAGCCATTCAAGAATGAAGCCAAATAATTGAGGAGGCATCGATAACGTTCTTGGTTTTGATAACATTGGTTTTGACAGCGACTTCTAAGGACATGCGCTTATATTTTTGTATGTGATTGTAATTCTAGTTCCACGTTTTGTATATGGGTGAGCTATGGTTTGTAGGCATATGAACCGTAGAAGTGCGATGTTTCTGCTGTATAACTTGTCTTTTGAATGTTTTGTATGCTCTGTATGTTTGTATGTTTTGTATGTCTCCGCATGGCTTGCTGTTGACCAGTGTAAGAGGCCCGAGGACCAGTCAAGCTGCCTACTGCAGCTTTTTCTTTTTTCCTTTTGGGCCCCCCCTCATAATCAGTGGCAACAAAATAAACTTATTATTAAGTTATGTATAAAGTACATTTCCCAATCAATAACTGCAGGAGAACGGGAGGAAGGCTTTTCAGTTATCCCGCCTCCATCACGAGTACTCACATCGGCGCTTCCAACGCGCACGCGCTGTCAAAGCACGGAAGCGCAACGAGTGCAAGTCGGAGAGAATTCGAAAGAGACGCCCTGCCGTTGTCATTCTGTCAGTGACTGTTCACCATTCTAAAAGAAAAACAAATAAAATAAAGCTTCTGAGAGCTTCAGAGTTTGTGCGCATGGCGCGTGCTTTGTCTGCGTTCCGAAACCACGAGCAAACAAGGGGCTGCGGGTACGGCTGCGGGCTGTGAAGATCGCACGCTAAACTGCGTGTTTACAAATACTGGAAAGGTGTATAGCCCGAAAACTTCCGGGGCTTTGTCACGTGGTTTATTATTTCATCTCGCAAATGTAAAAGGGCGGTCTTTCGAGTGTTCGACGGAAAGACGGACGGAAATTGGTAAGCTACACGGTACACCGTGCCCGCAAAAACACGACACGCCCGCACTTCCCATTCCGAGCGGTGGCGGAAGCTCGTAGCGTGCGGCCTTATTGTGCACAACCCTCAGCTCTCTGTCACAATGAGTCGACTCGATTTGCTTAGGCAAATAAATCCCGCCCGACCAATCGAAACTGCGACCATTTTAGAAATGCTATTCATCGAGACTCGCTGGGTGCGCGATCAATAAGCACTCGGCCGTATACGCGAACGTGACCGCGCTAGCGATCCTAACCTATAGGACTGCTTTGCTCTTCTAATGGGTGCTTATTCCGCGGACGAAAACTGCGTCGGAGAATCAATGCTGAAGTGCAGCGTGTCACTCAACAAATGTATACGGCTATGCGCTCCGTTTAGCCTTTACGGTTGACCGCGGTGGGCGCGACGGACCCCCCTAGCCAATACAGCGCTGTGGACAGGTCACGTGGCCACGCACCTTGCGTGTTTGCTCCGCTCTTGTGAGGGTCACGTGTCACTCACAGGGCAATGAACTGGCCGCAAAGGCTCGTAGCGTCTTTGGTGAAAGCGGAGCGTATAGACGAGGTGCGGAAACTGAAACTAACCGAAGTCCAATAAGGTCGGGTCTAAACAAGCGTGTATCCAAGTTATAGTTCATCTCTCCGCCTGCTCATTTTTTTTCCCCAACAGTCCATGGTTCGATCGCGCTCATTTTAGATTCCGGCGGCTATCTAGCCGAAGAAAGCGATACACGCGATACATGCAAACACAACCGGTGCCCTCTCAAATGAGACTGTTTATATTTAGAATTCTGAAACGCTTTGATATTTGAAGGCTAGAGCTTACAGAGACTAAACTGAGGCGTAGAATAAACGTAGTGAGAAGAAACGGGCATTTCTAAATTCATAAAAAAAAATGAGAACACCCGCACACATTCATCTTAAAAATGGAAGAGTGGAGTCAACAAGCAGATTTGAATTACTCGGTGATGTGAGCTATTACTTGCAACGACAACCAAATGTAGCTTCTTCCGAACATAACCAACGACAGGACGAATTTGTCACTGCTGCTGTGATAATCACTGCAGAATTGCCATTTAATCGATCGAATCGTGTCTACTCCGCTGTCGGAGCGTGCCAGCAAACTGCCCTGTGCAATGCGAGCTAACAAAGTTAGCACAATTTGCATATCCAAGAAGGCATATGGCCTGGTCACATTCTCTTCATTCAGACCCATTCCCAGATACAAGAGACAGAGGAAATGCTAAACGTATTATACAAATATGCAACTTCGTTATGTAAAGGCTATGTAAAGGCTGTGTAAAGGTTACTTAAAAGCAATGTAAAGGTTATGTAAAGGCTATGCAAAGGTTATTTAAAGGCTCTGTAAATGTCCTGTCAGGAGTACGCAAAGGTTATGTAAAGGCCATTTAAAGGCCATGTAAAGACTATGTAAAGTTGATGTAAAAGCAATTCACTTTGTGATCGATTAAATTGCAAATCATTTGTGTATAACCTATCAGGCCTTGTGAATTTGCATCTGCGTGTGACAACAGAAGAAGAAAAATATGTAAATGTTTTATTCGAGCGGTATTGAACCCAGGGATCCTGCGTTCGAGCCCCACCCCTGCCCGTTTCGATCTGGATGAGCATCGTACCGGCGTGCGGTCGTGTATCACTACTGCGTGATGCACGTTAAAGACCCCAGGCTAGCGGTTGTACCGCACTGGCTAAATTTCTCATCTACAGCTGGGAGACTCGTCGCCCCTGTGAGGCAAACCAAGTTCTAGGCTGTATAAACATACACACAACCCAATTTTTTTTTTTTTCGAGCGGTATTGCAGAAATAGATGATTCGTCGAATGAGAACCCTTTCTCGTAGGTCAACGTATATTCAGATGCAAGTTAAGAATAAGCCAGAAGCTCCTCCCATTCCGTCATTACCGCCAGTCACCGTTCCTCCGCGATGCGCAATAGATTCATGTTTAGACTTTTACAAATTAAACGCCACCACGTACCAGTCATGACAGCGAATCGCTCCGCGGACAAATCGAGAAAGGCATTAGCCATAACGAGTTATGTGACGTCTGCGCGACATGCGCCTCGGTAGCGGATACCGAGGCGCATGTCGCGCCGACGTCACCTAACTCGTTATAGCTAATGCTTTTCTCGATTTGTCCACGGAGCGATTCGCTGTCATGACTGGTACGTGGTGGCGTTTAATTTGTAAAAGTCTAAACTTGAATCTGACTGCAGCAGGAGTCCAAGCCTGGCGTGTACTTGAATCTCGATCAAATCGTGGCGTCTGATCCCTCTTTACAGCTCACACCGCCCTTGCAAGACTTAAACGAAAAGTCTGACTGTCCACTGTCCTGCAGAACGGAGAGACCGCCGATCACAGTGAAGAATAGAAGGATCCCAGCGTATGAAGAAACTCCGATCAGTGACGTAGCAATGGGGAGGGGGGGGGGGGTGGAGGGGGGCGGACGGACACTGTGTTTCGGGTACCAGGCCTCCCAGTCACATGAGGGGGGAGGGCACCTTTGGGAGTAACCGCCCCCCCCCCCCCCCCGCTTTAGTGGGTGGTTGCGATCTTAGGGAGTGAATTGGGGGGGGGAGGGGGGGGAGGCTAGGGAAGAAATAAGGGCCCCGGGTGCCGGATGGCCTACACCAGGGGTGGCCAGGCTGGCCTGACCTAAGAGCCGCAAACAAAACCACGGAACTTCTAAGAGCCGCGGGGGGGGGGGGGGGGGGGGGGGGGGGGCAAACTTAACTTTTGTGGAAAGTCTGACTGTACGCATGGGGGCACAAGGCTGTACGACTGCACGTATGGGACTACAAGGCTGTCAAACTGCAAGCTGCAGAGTGCTTTATTCTGAAATCTTTTCTTTTTTTTTTCTTGGGGAAAGGCGGAAAGGGGCGAAGTGTGTGGGAGGGGGGGGGGGGGGTTTCCTTACGAGGTATCCGCGAGCCGCACTTCGACCAGCGAAGAGCACTCTAAAGAAAGCCCGTGCGTCTGCTTTCCCGCTCAGCGAATGACAATGCGGAAACATATGTTTAGACCAAAAAGCGCAGTCTGAGTTGTGACATTAAGCAATGCAAGCGTGACGTTTTGCGTTGCTTAATGTCACAACTCAGACAGCGTTTTTTGGTCCGAACATATGTTTCGGCAATGGCATTCGCTGAGCTGCCTCCGTAAGTTGCGGTGATCGGTTCTCCGAGTATTGTGCGTGAAAGTAGACGCACAGACGTTTTTTAGAGTGTAGCTACGCCACCGACTCAGACTATGATTAGGTCCGGAAAAAAATGCGATGTGGGCAGGGACCCAAGTTCAACGTTATGCCCAGTGTCCTTGCGCGCATAACATTTTTGGTCCAATCGTATTCTGAACGTCCCCATTGGCTGGGATCCTTCTCTTACTCGCAGTGATTGGCTTTCTTCGTGTTCCGCAGAAAAGTTGACTCCCAGACTTTTCTTTCTTTCCTATTTTTAGGGTGCGGCCGCGCTGTCTTTCAGCACAGGGCGTCAAGACTTCGGATGGGTTCCGGGGAACTCACCGGTGAGCCGAAGTTGTGTCCTATTTCGTGCGCGAGGGTCACGTGGGACACAATCGGGGGCACGTGTTTGCCGTAGTTGAGCAGCGTCACGATGCCTGTGTTGAGGCTCTTGAGGCTGCCCCGGTAGTGCTGCGCCACAAAAGGAGAAAGACGTCATAAAAAAGAAAAAGCACTGTGCAAACAAAGAAGAACAGATTGTGAATAACAGAGTGAGAAGGACAAGACGTCTCTTTCCGACGTCCAGCCCCCAGCACACGCTCGTTGGCTTCCGCCGTGCTTTGTCTGCTCGTGCACTCTCCAAGCTCAAAAGATTGAAGCTATAGGAAGCTCACTCTAAAGGCGGGGCAACTGATATACTTCTTTGGCGTTCTCAACTTGTCAGTGACAGTCTTCTTTTTTTTTTGTTACATTAGGGTTTATAATAGAAGTTGCGTTATACAAAATTTGGTGATATTGAAACATAGCTTGTTTTTTAGCACGACATTGTAAAACGATTAATATAGAACTAAGGAAGAATACTACTATTACACTCCCATTCGCATTGGTGACGTAATGCTTGGCTGATAATAAAGTGTCGCTAATTTTTTAGTTGATATTATATAACAAGAAAGTCCCATCTTATTTTTTTTTTTTTTGGACTGATATTATGACGCCACAAGGCCTCGTCACGACATTAAACGCCAGATTGCGCGCAAGCACATGGCTCTTCTCCTTCTTCTGCAAAGCTGCAGAGCTCCTTCTTCTGCAGCGCAGTTTTCTCGATCCGAAAATAAGCTACAGGTTGACAATGGCCCTAGGCTCCCTTAGTTTGTTCTCGTGCCCCACTTCATTCCGTACTCGTGTGCGGCATATGTCGGTATCGGATTTATGAGCGCTTTTAATAAGGTGCATACATTAGATTGGTGAACGACGTATAGATAAAACGCCGAACCAGCCGTATATAACGTCGTAATAAACTTCAAATTAGGAACTCCGACAGTACGCATCTTTGACTTATCAACTTTTCCCGGTCCATTGTTTTTATATTTACCTTACTTCACATATATATATATACATATATATATATATATATATGTGTGTGTGTGTGTGGGTGAGACAGAGTAGTTTGAGAACAATGGACCGGGAAAATGTAATAAGTTAGATCCGTACTTGCGGAGTTGCTATGCTAGGAGTTGATTACGACAGTTTCGCCGAGAGGATCGCTACTGACAAAGCCGAGCCTCTCGGCGAAAGTGTCGTAATACATACAATAAACTCCTAGCATAGCAACTCCGCAAGGTCGGATATATATACTGAGAGAGAGAGAGGGGGAGAGAGAGTGAAAGAGAGCGAGATAGAGAGAGAGAGAAAGAGAGCGAGACAGAGAGAGAGAGAAATAAAACAAAAACCTGCGCTGTCTTACGCCTATGTACGAACACCGAAACTCAACAAGGGAAATTCCTATTCATGTTCACTCAGGCGAACAATAACTGGACATTTTGAGGACGACAACTGTGTTATTAGGAGTAATTCAATAGGTGTATTGTTTTAATAAACAAAACATTTTTTCGTTGCTTTTTATTTTCGTTGGTATCGTACACTACTGGCGAATTTTAGTTGACCACTTTCGTGCGCTCGCTGCGCTCTACGGAGCGGCACAATCGCCATTGAGCATGCGCGGCCGCTGCGAGTTCGAGCGTGGCCGGCTCCGTACGCGCTGTTCGGCAGGCTCGGAGCAGAGCGGGAAGTGAAAGGGTTCTACTAAAACTCTCTTCTGACGAACATCTTTACACCCTGCAGCTTTCACGTTAGTTTGTTTTCATGATCCTATATACACATACATTCTTGTGAGCTGGACGTCAATCTCAACGTCAAAACATTTTCTCCGAGCACCACCGTAAAACGGAAGTTTACTACCTAAATATGTACACGCGCCCAATGTTCGGCACATATACCTATTTCACACCAGTCATGTTCACCTATGTCGTTCGTGTATTCTTAACGGGTACCCTTTCACAGTGATAAAAAAAATAAGGTGCTACTCTTGGGCGCATGCACAATTTATTTTATTTTATTCTTACTTTGTGGGTGTTATATATTTTGCGGCCAGCTGTTTAAAACAAATGATCCGACTGTCCTTGATAGGTTTTGTAGTTCCATCTTAACAACCTTATTGGGGGAGGGGGGGGGGGGGAGAGTTTACTCGTCCAAACGCAATTTCCTGTCCATGTTCTTGAATTTTGGTGTTATTCACGGTCCACTGAAAAATTGAAGCACAGAAATATACGATTGCATGCAGACTTTTTTGAGAATATGTGAATAAAAGCGGCCTAAAGAACGTCAGAGGGTTTGCACGTAAATGTCAGTCTTCTTTTTTTCATTTATTTTTGTTTACTTCATTTGCCATTTCCGCTTGCTCCTTTTCGTTTGTTTACTTAAGTAGTTTTCCAAACCCACACTACGTTTAAAGTTATCGCACTAATTGTTATAACTGGCCGATGGCAACCTCTTGATATAGAAACATAATTGGGGCCCACTTCGTGCAAACAAACTTGACCTTATACGACGTACTTACCGCAAAGCGAGGGTGGACATCCAGCGGATCAGCAGGGCTGGGACATGCGTGCGTCATGCGTCAGCGTCATAAACTCCATTGTCAACTATACAGGCGTGAATAACGATTAGAAGCGACCCACTCACCTCACTGAACATTCAGCCTGTTGGGTCCATTGGTTCACTGCCAATGCCCGGCTTCCAGTACTCGTTGAACGTCGTATCGTCCCGAATCCAAATCTCAAATACAATACTTTTTTTATTAATTTGTTTACTTCACTCGCGGTCTATACATGTTAAACGTTAAAGCTTTACACAGTGTGGACTATAAACAGGTGCGAACTATACGAGGTTTCGCTTTTTCTAGATCGTTCATCATGACGATACGTGACGGATTTCGTGAATGAAGTGTATGTTAATGATAATTTATGAACGTTACGAGCTTCTCTCTGAGCTAATTAAGCAGTCGTTAGTGAAAGTGTGCTGTATATTAGATATTTTACCTGAGTACAATATGCACCAGGTGCACACTATTTATGAAAAAAAAAATATATATATATATATATTTGTTTTTTCATCCGAAATTTGTTTCGGCGCACTACACCGAGTGCCAAGTCCGAAAAAAAAATAATTCATTTAACATAAAAAAAAAAAAATATTCACCCAAATCCGTCGTCCCGGGTCGCAAAAATAAATTGTGGTGAGCTGAAGGCAAAAGTACAAAACGCGCCTCCGGCTCTTTTGAAATATTAAACAAAAAAAAATTTAGAGAGCGCGAATTATAATAACCAAAATAGGAAGTAACCCGCGTACTTGATTGCCGTTATATATTTCTTCTTTTTTTTCATTTTGGTTTGTTCCCACGACTGGAAGGGTTATTATAATGCCAGTAGCTGAATAAAGTGTCCGCGCCTGTTGTGCTAAGAGAGGCCGTAACATTTCATGCTGGCCACTAACATTATACGACTACAATGCCAACAAAGCGCCTGTTAGCCGTGCTGTGTACGTGCAAGGAATACGTACGAGAGAGTTAAGTATTGAACAGAACATAACGGTCTAAAGAGAATCCAAGATCAACATATTTCCTATTCACTCATTTGTAGAAAAATGTACATGGACTTAAAAAAGAGAGCAAGAAAATTTGTGTTTATAAAAATAGTCGAAAAAAAATTATGCCTTGTGTCCACAGTTTGTGAATGCAGGACACCGTCGCATCTAGGGAGCCATGAAGGCACCCCAGTCGCATCCACGCCCAGGGAGGGAAGTAGCCCATACGAGGGTCTGAAAATATCGCTCGTAGTTTTTGTTTTGCCTTTTTTACACTTCTCCAGAACAAGGAACACAACAATACACACACAAAGAAAACACAAAACGCATCCTTTTCGCAGTGGAATTTAGTGTCCGCTGGCAACTACATGCTCTATAGAAAGTATTCACTGGCGGCCATAGCTGTGTGCGCGACTGCTGAGCGCGTGCTGATGGCGACCTTCCACAGTTCTTCTGTAACGTGCATTACGCACCCTCAAGGTTGCCGGTCTTAGCAACCTATTAATGTGGGCTCGTTCTGAGCATGCGCTCTAGGCAGCACCCGCAAATATGGCGTCCAGTGAATACTCCTTATATGGAGAGTATTCACTAGACGCCATATTTGTGGCTGCTGTTTAGAGCCCATGCTCAGAACGAGCTCACATCAATAAGCCGCTAAGACCGGCAACCTCGAGGGTGCGCAATGCACGTTGCAAAAGAACTGTGGAAGTTCGCCATCAGCACGCGCTCAGCAGTCGCGCACACTAGGGTGCCTCAATGACCTTCTGTTTAGAGAGATGACACCCTTTGTAGTACCCGATGCCGACAGCACGCGCTCACGGAGAAAATACAAAGAAATCGACGAAAACAAAATGTCGCCATAGCACAGTCAGCGCCACACACGCGTGCAGGGACACGCTCTTTCACGCGCTTCTGAACAAAAAAGAAATGCAAAAGTGGGAACAAAATGGCCAGATGTCTCGACCCCACCGTGCTCCACCCTAAGCGAAGCGCACATAGCTATGGCCGCCAGTAAATACTCCCTATAGGCTTCGCTGTCTAGCAGTGACATCAAACCTCTAAAAGTTGAAAGGGTGTCGAAACTTTTCAAAGGCCGTAATACACGCGCGACGCATACGCCCTTTCACAACAAAAAAAAAGAAAGAAAAACACAAAACGTTTGACACAAAAATTTATTTCAAATTGAAAAGGTTCAAAAAGAAAGACGAAACTGAAGTTTTTGGTTTGTTCGGTTTTCCAATTCAACTATTGTGCAATTTAATTCTTTTTTTTTTAACAGCCATTTATTTGTTTGAGGGGACTTCGAAACATCTGCCAAGCAGCTAGCAAACAAGTGTCACATGCAAGGTCATTTATATTTCGATAAAATGCCCGAAATAATCCGAGTCTCCAAACAAGGCTTACTGAGTACGCGCATAAAGTACCAAATTGCTGCTCGTGCAAGAAACTGTAAAATGATAAGAAAAGTTGAAGGGTTTCGCGTGTACCATGTGCTGCTTCATATGGTGAGGCTCTCAGATTGTCGAACGTTATAACTTAAAGTTCAGCGTGCCCCAGCTTAGCTGCTAGCGGCACCGAAAAGTAGCGTTGGCCGCGAACGTTAAACGTGTGCTTTAGCTAAATATATACGTGACGGTTCTTCTGAGGGTATGAGAGAATTCTATGCCATCGTCTTTTTGTCGTTAGGATTTAGTATTGACAGATTTACACGGTGGTGAGAAATAAAAAAAGGCTGTCTCGCATTTGAGACCCGTTGTTGTGTCACAGTGTTGACGAGATCTTTCACATTGGAATAGTTCATACGTATACTCGTGTGAACGATACCTTGCTTCACACGCGAAACCAACCCAACAGTGCACAAGGGTTTCCAGATTTGGGAGACAGGAATGGTTTTTATAACAAAATGCCGCGTGAAAATCCTTAAGCCGGCGTCACACTGCTGTACGGTCTGCGTACAGATTCTAAAGGCTGGTTCAGACAGTTGCGTTTGACTGCGTTTGACTGCGTTGCGGCAGCGAGAAACCAGGACATCCCTGCTGCTTTTATCGCGTGCCAATATGATTCCTTGGATTGGATTCCACGCTTCATACGAAGCACAGATGTGCCGGTGACTAGCTTTCCGCACTCGACGCAACGCAGTCAAACGCACTCAAACGCAAGTGTCTGAACCGGCCTTAAAGGAGCTATGCAGCAATGTTTGTACTTTGCGCAAATACCGCTTAAAACGGATCCCTAACGTTAATGACCTATGAAACACGCGTTCGTTTTTCACCCCACGCAATACCAGTCCCAGAAAAAAAATTAAAGAGAAACGAGCAGCGTTCACCCCCTCAACTCGCAGCCAGAACAAGCGGCCACGTGATCTGGAGCCGATTATATGCCGCCAGTGTTGATCATAGCCACGCGCTGGGATTGGCAAAGCATAGGACACGCGCTGAGTTCCAGACATTGTTATGGCTCGGCTGTTGTCGTCGTTGCAGCGATTGGACACGGGTCACTACCCGAATGCTTCTCGAGCTAGCAATTATCACGAGCCCAAGTCGAGTGCCCACGCAATGCTCGGGTCCAATCTATGAACCGCATTCAAATATCGTCACTTGGGTGTACCGTGATCCCCACGTTACGTCATCAAATTTTGCAAAGGAGAGATTGAATGAAAATGATCGCTTTTGTCCTTGAAATTACACCGCAATAAAGGAGTTTCTTGGCCAGTGGCGTTGCGTGTGAGAATCCTTGAGTCCCAGGTGTGCCAGTAAGCTCGTGTCAAGTGAAAAACATTCCAATTGAATATCGTTGCACCGCTCCTTTAAAGCGAGTTACCGCACGATTCCTGGTTCAAATTCCGCATGGGAATACATCATTAGAACTACGAATATTGAGGTGTCTCATGTCAGCAGACTGCATTTTGCATGGTGTATGAATTGCGTGACGACAACTCAGGAGCCGTTCTTGAAACATGTGCCGGGATTTTCCGTGTAAAATAAGTCAAACTGAGCTACGCCTGAAGTTCCCAAGTGGACCTCCCCTTCGAGCATGACAAAGAGAAGACATGCCAAGAGTGCCAATAGACGCGTGATATTCGTGGGGTTGGACGACGCGTTCTTGAGAAAGCGTCTTCGCGTGAACTTCGCGGGTCCGTTCACGAGCCGCAGCTTTTTGGTTGCAGTTGGTTCCCCTTCTAAGTTGCCAGGTGTGTTTGTTCTTCGATCGACAGCTATAACGTCTAAATTACTTCGCAGAGCCAGAAATCGTTGTAACAAAAAAAAACAAAAAAAAACAATGAACCTTGAGCTGGTACGGAGCCACGAAGAAGCAGAATGGCGTGAGGCACGTCCCATCCGCACCTTACCACCCCTCTCCGAACGCGATGGCAAAGATCAACACCTTAAAAAAAAAAAAAAAAAAGAGAAACCGAGGTAACCATTGAGCTACATAAAGCTGAAAATATTTCTCACTCACTTACCGACATTCACTGTACGCTATGACATCGCAGTTTTGCCCACATCGGGGATGTTTGAACGTAACTTGGGGACGCGGCTTGGGCTCATCAAACATTCATTGTAATCAACTGTCTGTCGTTGACAGTTCGCTCAAGTTATTCAGAGAGGTGGAAATATACTTGTGTTAACGTGAAACGACTCGGTGCGGGCAAGAAATGACCAAAGCAGCGTTTGCCGGGTTCCCAGTATCGTCCTTGTCTGAACAGCTCTTTTATTATTGAAGGTCCAACCCACTACCCTATGTGGCTTCTTCGCGTAGCGACGGCGCGGCGACGGTATCTGCGAATAAGTCGCCACTTTGGCGACGACCGCCTCTTTCAACCATTATTCCGAAAACATCGCTAAAGTTATTAAACGTTTCTCGAGTGAAACCCCCGAACCAAGACTGGATTCACTTCAACGCAGGCACCCACCCCGGTGACTCAAAACCTTTAGACCTTTTTGTAACTTGGCCGCGACGTCTTTGCTATGGCACTGTATTTATTTATTTGTTTCACGTTATACCACAGCGCCAGAAGCATCATCGTAACGGGAGAGGGAGGATACAGTCACGTAAAATATATTCACCCGGTGCTGGATGGTGCTGCGTCACAATGACGGTAGAAGAGTTGTATCACACGCTACTAATTTTGCAAAATACAATGGTATAGTATGCATGTGCTAGACTGAGGTACGCGCAATACAGACGATCTCTTCATTGCATAGGACGCCATTCCTTTATACTCAGGCTGCAACATGACTAGTGCTCCAATGCGAGTATAGAAACTGAGGGTGAAGAGGACGTGCGAGCGCGCGGGGACGTCAGTGCTCCGAGCTCTGGTTGAAATGATTAGTTGGTAAACTGAAAGCCAAGCTGCCTTTATCTTTACTCACTGCTCGAACTCGTTCGAACATTCAGTAAGGACAAAGGCAGCTAGCTTTCAGTGTATCTGCTAATCATTCCAACCAGAGCTCCGCGCTCAGACGTCCCTTCGCACTCTCATCTCTTCCTCACCCTCAGCTTCTACCTGAACTAAAACAAAGTTTGATGCGCACCGAGTAGGCGTTGGCCTTTCTCACGGCATAACACTTTTGTTAAGTAACTAGACTTACGATTACTCCCTCAGCTCGGCAACACAAATGACCTACCTGTTCGTCCAGAAACACCAGCAGCGATGGTCACAATCAACGGTCGTTTTAGGTCTGAAAGGCACCTGCCAACACGCAGAAGACAGACTTCCAGCATGCGTCTACGGCGTTTGGGGGCAGCGTGCTTGTCCAGGGGACGACGCGTCTCAGGCAAGCGGGATTGTTCGCAGGGAGGGGCAGTGAACAGCCAAATCACGAATAAAAGGACCGCCAGTGGGTGCTCGCGTGTACCCCGTTCTTCTCGCAGACCCCTCCGGCGTTCTTGAGGTCCCCGGTCCAGGCGAGTCCCAGGGTGCCGCCCTCGAAGTCCCGGTAGGTGAACATGTAGGCCAGGCAGAAGGCGTCGTAGTCCTCCTCGGAGAAGAGCTCGAGGAACTTCTCGACACCGTAGTTGCCCGGGAAGCGGTACTCCTGCTCCCGCAGCGCGTCCATCGTGTGTACCTTGATGCGCTTGATGAGGAACGAGATGTTGTCCGACCGACCATCCTGGTCGAAGTCTGCGGGAACGCAGTTGGTAGGACCCTGTTTTAGTACTGATTAACCAATGGACGCTCATTTCAGCTTGAATGCGCAAACTGAGGGTGACGAGAAGGAAGCAGTGTTACTCACTGCTTGACAGACATCGACAACCCTACAGGAAAGCAGTAAAACGTGGTACTAAACAAACATAACAAAAAATAAATTCTTATACACAGTTCTACGCAGCATTGAATGGACAGAGAAAACATCTCTATAGACAGCTTTGAGTAGACGGAAGAAGTTGCCTACACGTGGCTATACTTATTACCAGAGTTTCATGGAGCACAAAAAGGCACAGCATGCAGGTGATCACATAAAGTTGTCTTTTTAAAGAAGCGTAAAGGCCCAGTCGCACTGAGAAAACATGTCGGCGACATCAACATAGCATGCTCATCAACAGTCGGGCAACTTGTTGATTGTTGGGTCTGTTGTCCAACAGGCCTGTCACAATGCGGGAACATCAGTACAGCATGCCAGCGCCGTCAGCTCGGTATGACGGGGTGTTCTCCGAGTGTCAGAGAACAAATTGGCGAACATGGTTGCCGGGTGACAGAAACGAGTCTCCCAAAAGTTGATGTTGTCTCAACGTGATAGGGTCGCCGGAAAAATGTTTCCCTCGTGTTGACGGTCAAAGTTGTCCAACTGTTTCATCAATGTGACAGGGCCTTAATAAATAACAATTGCTGAAAGGAAGAGAAGAAACGAACGATCCAGAAGGGACATTTGCGGTTGGCTAATGATGTATAACATAACTAATACCCTCTCCGGGGGCTACTTAAACACAGGCGTGTACATTGCGCGAACTAGCAGTGCGTTTAATGTTGATCGTTGGGTTCATTGTGTCGCCTAATGGCTGAATATATCGAGAATATATAGGTCAAGATCGTTAGTGAAAGTTAGCGCTTCCTGACCGCTTCGAAAGAGATATTTCGTTCAAGTTTACGCTTGTTATTTCTTCGCTAAGGGGCGGGTGGGAACTGTCGTAGACCAGATGGTGAGGCTACCTAGCAGGAGGTACCTACGTCGGCTATGTGTACACCACGCAGTCTCCAACAGTATGAAAAACCTCTTCGACGAGGAAGTTTCAGGCAGCTGTGCTGGATATAGGCTTCCACTAATTTGGCCGAGGAAATCAATGAAACTGTGTTGTATACTCTCTCTGAAAATAGAGTACCTCTACCCGAAGTGTACGCTTAGAGCCGCCATATAAACTGGGCAAATGAGTCTTTCGTGTTGTGGGAGATTGTATACTTTGATTTACTCGTTAAATGCACTCCCGTGGTTGTTTCATTTCTGTCTCCCTTAACGATGGCGCCTGCTTAGCTACCCCGCCAACACGCGCTACCCGCGCGTTTTATTTTTTTAATTTTTTTACGCAGTTTGTGTTTTATGCTAATTTTTATGAGAAAACCGTCACGACGAGCTATCATGAAGGACTGCGACAACAAATGACACACCCTGAAGCCATGTGACGCCACGTTACATCCTGGTGTCACGTAACACCGCAACGTCACGTGAAAATGTGAGGTCAAATGACACCCTGAATGTAGGGACTTTGTGGCGTCACATAACAGCATGACGTCACGATGCCGTCATATGACATCATGTCATGACTTCACTCGGCGTCACAATTGTGACCTCCTGACGTCGCGTGACGTCACACACATAGCACGGGCCCAGCACATTCACATTCTGTGTACCCCGGTATATGTCAGCATGATTACGTTAGTGGAGGACGTGATTTCTACATTCATGGTGAGATACCGAAGAATCAAGATCCCAGTGTAAAGTGCACACTATGCTAAAACACGTCTTCGCATTATGATGCCGAAGAAAATGTAATATGTTAGTAACTTACAGCGGTTCGTTTCATTTAACCTTTTGTTACTATATACTGTATATTTTTTTTTCTAAAACAGCACGTGCGATTGAAAAGTATAACTAAGTTTAATGTATTTGGTATAAAGACAACAAGAGAGACAACAAGGTAAGGCAGGGAACAAAATAATATAGTAATTGTAGATTTGGTGAAGAAAGGAATGAAAGCTAACACGAATTTTTATTTGCTTTGGCCTTTCAGATTAAATGTATTCCTTTCACAATATGTTCGAAGCAGCTAATGAACCATCTTAACTAGTCCGAAACGTGCCAGAGCGACAAAAGTCAATGAAAATATGCAAGGTGACAACATAACGGCTAGAAATCCGTTCGAGATATGCCTAAATAAATCGCTTACCCGTAGTCCTGTAGATGCTGTTGACCTTCTGCACGTGCCTCGTCATGGTCTCGATGCAGGCCTCTTCGGAGCCCATCTTCTGGTAGAACAGGTGATCTGCCTGAAGGTAAAGCATGCACGTCGTCTTCTTGGGGTCGATGACGACGTTCTTGGACAGCTGCTCTCCGGCCACCCACTGGGTCCGCTGCACCGACCGGATGCCCAGCGCCGCCGCCGCAGAGTCCTGCTCGGCCTGAGGCTCCAGGGGCTCCTTCCTGCCGTAGTGCACCGCGTCACCCTCCCTCCAGATGGAGGCCTCGAACGGTTCCTCGTCGACGCCTCCTGGACTGCGGCGTCTCCGAACGGCCTCTCCGTGGGCCGTGCTCGTCGGCGAAGCCCAGTGGAGGTACGACGCATGTTCCCGTCCCGAATCGCTTCCGGCAGGAGTGTCCTTGCGCTGGCACAGGGGCCGGTGCGACTGACACGTCCGGTTCTTGGGGAACTCGACGTCCGACAACTTGTACATGACGGAGTGGAAGTCTCGTAGAGTGTCGAAGTAGCGACTGGCCGGCTCGATGAAGAACTCTTCACCGCGGCGGACAGTGATGACGCCGTCGAAGAGGCCGTCACTCGTGATGAGACCTTCTACCGAAGACTCTTCGTCGTCTGCAAGGGAAAGCAAGTGGCTTCACACATATATCGGCGCGTTGTACCTCATTCGAGTACGAATGGTTTAATCGCAACAAAAAGAAGGACATCAATGCTGCGTAGAATATGCAAACCCCTAGTTACATCGTATCTGCCGAATTCTGGTGACGAGATCCACGAGTAAAAGGGTCAAAAAGTGTGGCTCAGCTTATGTCGCTTAGCCGTGAGCTTGTTCTAAGATACTGTCATCATAAACCTACGGCTGAGCTCCTATCGAATGCACCGTATAATTGCAAAAATCCCTTAGGCCACACTCTGCAATGATCATTTATTTTTTTTATTTTTCATTTTTCTAGTTTCTTTCTTAATAAATTATTCTTATTTCTCTACCCTAAGGCTCGTTTTTTACCTGTCGTCCCTAAGTCATCGCCTCACCGTGGTTATCTGGTGGCCGCTAACCAGGCGGAGTAAAGCCTTCGACGGCACATATTCGAAAACGTTCCGCTCGTGCTTATCATTTCAAACAGCGATCGGCATCACAATAGTAAAGTTTGTTTAAGCTCCGTTTCACACTAAGTCCGAGCGCAGCCACAATCCGATGGAGACAAGAAGTTCCAAAAGTACATTGTCACGACGCACGTCGTATTTGTGCCTCTGTTATCATCTGGCTGAACCAACTAAGCACAAACAGAAACGAGCAGGATCCCTTCCGTGTTCATCATGCGACCATGGAGATTTGGCGCTGCTTGCTGCGCTGGGACTTAGTGTAGAACGGGATAAAAGACGGGGAGACCGTGTCATTGACGGGCGCTCGACCGCTTTATTTATGTCTACGATACAGCCTCGAAGAGAATTTACCTCTACGACCCGACGTATCGATCGCAGGCGCCTGAATCTCGGCGGGGGACAGCCGCCTGCATGCACGCGGCAGAGACGCCGTCGCTTATCGTTATTCGCGCACGCGATTTGTTATTCCGCGCGAGATCGACAAAGCGCCCCGGTGCACGCGGAGCTCTCGTTCCGTCCGAGCCCTCCTTTATTGGCGGGGGGTGCGCCGGCCCTAATCTTTATGGGCCCAACCGAATCCCCGGGCCAAGGGCGAGAGAACAAAAATTGCTACCGCGCTTTCCGCGCGAGTGCGGCAGGATCCAGTTAAAGTAAAGTCGGTTACCGTCAAACTTTGGTTTTAACGATACTTTCGATCGAATCCGATAATCTCTCTTTCATGCGTCGCGGTTGAATGAGCGCCAAGTTCCTCCGCACGGCGATATAACCGAGAATAAGCGTGTCCTTCGATAGGTCTTATTGGTCGTCGCGTCATCTGCGCAAAAGATAAAATATGCGCAGTCTTTGATTGTTAGCAGCGAAGCTATTATATATAATCTCTGATGGCTTAAGAAACGCAAGGAGTGATAATCCCCGATCATCTTATCATCGCTCCGCAGCCGAACAGATCGCGGCGTCGGCCGAAACAAATAACGCCCAGGAAACAATCAGGAGGCAAACAGCGCGAACGTCCTAAGCCACAACCTGCGTTTCTTAACGTTCTGTGCTCGGAGCATTTCGTTCGAGCCTACATACCCTTACTGTAGCTATCACACTTCCTTTCCCGAACGGCCACGGCTCCTTTAAGCGGCCGGTGCTCGGTGTACGTATATTCCAGCACCATGGCCCCCCTCAAATTCCCGGCCCCCGCGCACAAAGGCCCGCGTTTTATGTGCGTCGTGTGTCACGACTTTCTCGCCCGGCCTACCTTCAATGTATCCCTTGAGGACGTTGGAGATGTCGTAGGAAATGGGTCCCTTGCTCGACGACTCGAAGGCCACGTCGGGGCTGAACACGCTGGTGTCCCTCTTCATGCGGAGTTTGAACAGCCTGGAACGGGAACGCGTCTTTTGTTTTTTTGCTTTTCTCTCCCATTTGGGGGATGTGATGGCACCCACCCCAGGCGTACGCGCGCGCACGCGGGTGCCTCGTTTGGCACGTTATTACGGGCACTGGCATTTATGTCTTCGGAAATGATCTAACGTAGACTCCCGATTTAAATGTTCTGAGAAATGAAGGAAGTTTTTTTTTTATTTCGTTTTAATCCCATTAGGTTATGATTCGTTATTAATGTGATATATGTTAAAGGCCATTCTGTACGTCGATTTTTTGCGACTTGTTATTTGCGGAGAGTTCCGTTTAAATAGATACCTGACAAACGATACAGATTCAAGAGAACGTCATCCGATCTATTTCTTGGTGTCTATGGATGTTTTAAATAGTGTATCGGAGGTTAGTAAGCTTTAATCAACCTCTTTATACAGGGTGTTTCACGAAAAGTGGACAAATTCGATATTGCAACAACTACTCGTCGCAACGAAAAAGACTTGTGTTGTTTGGGTCCTGGGCCAGGGGCCCATTTAGGAAAATTATTAAAGTCCGGGATAATTATATCGTTAATTATTATTGCGTAATTAACTTTTTTAATATTGTGTTTAAGGGCATGGTTTAATGAGAAAATTGCTCAGCATCATCAAAAAACACTAAATCAACAAAGTGCAGAACGATAGGAAGTACGCGCAGCATTTTACGGCTTTCTGAAAAACCGCATAAATTCGACGCCGGGGTTTTTAAGTTTCGGTTTGCGATCGGAGCGCTTCTCGGCCCCGACGGCGCCGCGTCCCGTGGAGAGATAGTGCAACCAACCTCTGCTGCGCTGTCCTCGCGCAACGCAGCAAATATTAAATCCGGAACTGTCACCTAGATGAAAAACTTGAGAAAACATATGTAAATGTGTTTCCATACAGGGCAACGTCTCCCCTGCAACTTCTGGGAAAAGTCTCAGTCAGCGTGGGTGACGAAGATGTCCTCCTGACTGCACCAGTCAAGAGGACATCTTTGTCAACCGGGGCAGCTGCGCACCACTCCTTAGCTTCGCAGCAGCATCGAATCTTGGTCTTGTCCGAATCGCATACCGAGTCGAAGAGTCCCCGACAGGAAAGTCGACCGTGGAATAATTCTCCAACTTGTTCAAAGGAGTTGTATAAGCTCAACGAGCAGCAAATCTAGCTCTTCGCAGATGAAATTGTACCCCCCATCGCTCAACCTCACCGACGCATTTCATTTCCGCCAAGCTGATTATGTATGCAGATGACACCAGAATATTTTCTTTTTTTTTGACTCGAGAGAATACATACTCACTTCCAAGGGAAACTATTTCTTACGCAAGCTAAAACACTGGGTCACCATAAATTCTCTGTCTATAAACCCGTACAAAAGAAAAGGAATCTTTTTTAAATGTCCAGGATCACAGATCGCATTGTCCAGTGATTTGTACTTTGGGCCAAATATAGTAGAATACGTTGACAGCGTAAAGACCCTCGGCGTTGTGTTCTCAGAACACATGTCGTTGGAATCCCCATGTTTCTTACCTACAAAAAACTTTGTAAAGTAGTAGGGATAATGAACTAATATAAAAAAGTATTTCCTGCGTAACTATAAAAAAGATAATAGATAATTCCCTTTTTCATTCAATTCTTTGTTATTGCCATCTGGTCTGGGGGACAACAACAAAAAGTAACTTTGACAGGTTGAGGTTAATGAAAAAAAAAAAAGCAATAAGGATAACTGAAAATGTCTCACGTGATTATAGTTCTCTTCTTTTATTTATGAAGCATAAAATACTTGACGTATCTAACATGTCCTCTAATAGATTAACTGTCACATATCGTGCCTTAAGAGAACATATTGCAGTGATTTTTGACCTCGCTAAACTTGAAAATAATGTGTCATTATATCCCTCACGTCATTGGCATCCATGGCGAATCCCATCATCTAGAACTAATTTTGACTTCCAGAGGTTGAGTTACATATTACCGTCACTGTAAAACACCTATATACCCGAGAAGTTGATTCACCTTCATTAAATGCCCATACGACTCAGGCTTTCTTGTACTGAGTGAAAATGTTTGTCTTAAGTTTATTATATCTTCTACTTCAGTCTGTTTTGAAGCGCAACCTGTTTTCAATGACACTTATTTTATACGACGTCTTATATAAGTTATCTTGGGTTTTTGTTTAGTGTCTGGAGGTGAGTGTTGGTAAACTTTCGTTAAATGTCCGTAAAATTTAAACTTTCCGGCAATAAATCGAATGTTTGTCTTATGTTTGTTATATATATCTATTTCAATGTTATTGAGATGATACTTAATATATTGCTAAATGTCATGTTACGTAAGTTATTTTCACTGTGTTTTTTTTTTGTGTGTGTTTTTGATGACAGTGCCGCTCTGCCCTGTGTTTTGGGGGGCAGGAACCCGTCAAGGCTGCAAACTTGCATCTTTTTTTCCTGGCCCCCCTTGTCCCATCTGTGTAAAAGAGCTGCGACAAAACTAAACTGATTCTGATTCTGATTCTGATTTGCAGTGCGAGCACTCATGGAAGCAAAACTCGACCGTTTCGTGTCAAATGACATCATCGAGCCAGCAGTTGGACCCACACCATGGGTGCCTCCTGTTGTGATTGTCTCAAAACCACAACACCCTGATTAAATCCGCATGTGCATCGACATGCGCGTTGTGAACACTGCCATTCAACGAAAACGACATCCAGCGGATAGATGGTGACGATAATTATGATGATGTTGCGGTCCTTTTCTTTTGGAAAGGCGGGCTCAAACTGAGTTCGTGCCCAAGCCTGGGAGGGACTGTGTGGGTCTTAATTTCCCCTAGAGTGAACCTTTTTTCGCCAGTCTCAAACTTTTTCTTTTTTTGGTCGCCTCTATACAGTAGGCTTGTGCAGACCGCTGAAAATCACGTTCGACTTTGCAGCAGGCCTGTCGGCATGTTCTCCCCGCCCTGTTTAGTCGGGCTGCTGCGGTTGCCTTCCTCAGCGAGCGCCAGGGAGGTACGAGGACGTCATCCCTTGTCCTGTGGCCGAGTAGTCTGGAGACTTGCACAATCGAAAACGATGTGTACCACCGTTTCGTTGTGGACCCCGCACGCCCTACACACACTCGTGGTCACACTGCAGCGTCGAACCGCCGCTTGTAAGGCAGCATCCGGAGGGCTCCCACTCGTGCTTCAAACAGAAGGCGATTACCTAGACTGTTGTCGTACAACCGGATGTGTGAAGTGATGGTCTGCTTATGAATCACGTACACATCTATCGTCGACTTGGTTTGGGCGTCTTGCAGCCACTGCTGGGTCTCTTGGTCACGAACCTTTTTGCGGACCTCTGACTCGCGTTCTAGCTCATAGAGGCGCTTCTGCTAACTGGTTCGCAATCCAGATAAGTGTGTGTGTATGTGAAAAGTATCTTCGCCTAACGGCAGCTGTCCTTATGGCGAAGTCCTTCGTCGAAGGCTATTTTGCTGGTCGTCTCCCGAGCCTCGAAGGCTCATCAGCCCAGGTCACCCTGGACGGTCTCATTTGCAACTGCCCCACTGCAGGCCAGGGCCTGACGCCCGACCTCTATTTACCGATGTTCCCTACGGGCGCGTATATCCATATGGCCCACTGATTCGGGCGCCATCCATCCGCGTTCAAATGAAGCGCCAGGCACGCCGAACATAATCTGGACGCTCCATTAAATCGAGTGACATCACCTAAGGTGTCTCTGGCATCGTGGTTAGAACACTATATCGTTTCATGTTCTCTTTATTTATAGTGAGAAGGATCAAACGATATCCCTTCCACCGGGAGTGACGCAGCGCCGGAAGCCGCTGTCGACCATCGACGTCACCAAGCCAGCCAAGAAAAGAGGACTGCCTTCGCTGGAACCGTCATTCAGCAACAGCGACAGCCGGTTGAAGAATCGCCTCAACAAGTGTTGTTCACCCTGCAGGTTGGTGTGGTGATTTTTTCCACCGTAATTGCATATTGTTACTGCTGTCGCTGCTGTTGAGTTTAATTGCTGTTTTTGATTGCGAAGTGCGATGACTAAATCCGCGACGTCTACGTCAGGGAGAGATGATCGTAGTGAGCTTCGCGAGCTCCGGACTGAAATGAGGGGGCTACAAGAGAGCATGAATTTTATAAACGCGGAATTTGAAGATATGAAGAAAAGGCTTGATGAGGCACTTGGCGAAAGGGAGGCTCTGAAGAAGGAAGACGAGAGCTTGCGCGAGAGGTGCAAAAAGAACGAGAGTCTTATTGAGCAACTTCAGATGAGGGTTGTTCAATGTGAGCAGTACTCCCGCAGGTCTAACATTGCAATAAAAGGGCTTGTGCAGAATAAAAATGAAAACGTCACTGAACTTGTAGGTAAGATAGGTGATGTGATTGGTGAACACATTGCCGCAGACGATGTTGAGTCTTGTCATCGCGTACCTACGCGAGAGGAGGGCAAGAGCAACGTCATCGTGCAGTTCAGAAGCAGGCAGAAGAGAGATGCCGTTTTTGCGAAGGCTCGTAAGAGTCGCATCAGGAACCGTAATGTCGGAACGGCGAACGAAACACAAGTTCATCTGAATGAGCACTTATGGGGGTCCCCCGCTGAAGCGGCTTCTTTCTCTTGCGATTGCCAAGAAACGTGAGTGTCAGTGGCGACTTCTGTGGACGCGGAACGGTAAAATCTTTGCACGCAAAGCAGAGCACAGTCCGGTAGTACACATCGTATCTGAAAATGACTTGTGCAAAATCGTGTAAGTGAAAACTTTGCTAGGTTACTATATCTTTCAACTAATATGCTTTATCAAGAGTACGGATTACCATCTGATATTGCGGTACGAAAACAGTCAAACGACTTTCTTTCTTTTGTTCATGTCAACGCGCGATCTCTTGCGCCTAAGCAGGACCAAGTTTCTACTTTTCCGATTTGACATTGTTATGTTTTCTGAAACATGGTATCAAACAGATAGCGATATGCTAGTATTGGATGAATACAATCATTATTTTATAAACCGAAGTGGAATGCGAGGCGGTGGCGTAACGATGCATGTTAAACAGCAATTGTCATGCGAAGTGCTGGAAAAATTCACACTTATCACCACAGATTATGAAGCAATTTGTTTGCTAAGTAACAATGAAATCTTTGCGGTTGTGTATCGTCCCCCCTCTGGTAATCGGAACGTTTTTCTTGATTTTATTGAAGAAATATTAGATTTCGCATCAATTCATCGGTATCGCTTGCTAATTGGGGGCGATTTCAATATAAATATGCTTGATAATAACGGTGCATGCCCGTGATTTTAATAACAGAATAAATTCTTGCGGTTACCAGAATGTCATCACAACCTCAACTCGTGTATCACTCACGGGTCAATCCATCCTTGACCTTTTCATTGTAAATATAGACACATCTATTCAAGTGGCAGGTACAATATGCTATGATATTAGTGATCACTGTCACATTTTTATAGCGTATTCTACTTCTACATCGTGGGAAAAAACACGTCAAACTAAATTAACATATCGGTGCCTATCCAGCAGAAATCTGGATACCTTCCGTAGGTATATCGTAAATGCTGACTGGTCATCCGTCTATAGCAAAACCAACGGTAGTGACGCCTATGACGAGTTCTTATCAATATTTCTTCACCATTATAATGCCGCTTTTCCTCGCATAACCGAAAAGCAAAAAAAAGAAAATTAGGAAGCCTTGAATAGAACCTGAACATTTAAAAATGATCTATGAAAAAACTAAACTTTTTAAAGCGTTCTTGCGTACGAGGAAACCGTGTAAACTTGCATCTTTAAAAAAAAAAACATAGAATCAAGCTAACCGCCGAGTTAAGGAAGGCAAAAACATCTTACTATAATAACTTTTTTTTAGGTGTCCAAAAAGCACCCTGAAAGAGTATAGAAGATAATAAATGAGGTTCTAAAACGACAAAACGCGAAATGTAACACAACTGAATTAACAATAGGAAACAACAAACTCTCAAGGGTCACATTAGCCGATCATTTCAATACGCACTTTGTGAATATGGTTAGACCGCTGAATAACATCACTGGTTCGAAACCCGGGTACCAATGTAGTGAAACTGCGTTTCTTGAACCTACGGATGAAATCGAGATTTGTCGCACATTTATGAGCTTAAAAAACACCCACTCAACAGACATAGACGACGTTCAGATAAAGCCTGTAAAATACGTAATTGATGCTATCGCTCCCTGTCTAAACTACATATTTAATCTAGTTCTAGAGTTTGGTTGCTTTCCCAGTAGAATGAAAAAGGCGAAAGTTTCGGTCATCTTTAAAGGAGGAGAGAAAAATAACTTTAACAATTATAGGCCAGTATCCATTCATCCGGTGTTCTCTAAAGGACTTGATAGAATAATTTTTTCACGCATCAATAGTTTTTTTCTCTAAACACGATATACTAATAGACAGTCAACATGGCTTTCGCCAGGGAAAATAAACAGAAACAGCACTTTTAACAATGAAGGAACTTATCATTAAGAATATTGAAGGAAATCGGCTTACCCTTGGAGTATTTATTGACTATAGTAAGGCATTCGATTACATAAATCACGAGATATTACTAAAAAAGTTGCACGCATACGGTGTCCGCGGTGTTGCCCAATCGTTGTTTCAGTCTTATCTTTACGACCGGAAGCAGTGCGTATCCATAGATAATAACATTTCATCTTCCAAATTCGTTACTGCCGGTGTTCCACAAGGAAGTGTTCTAGGACCGTTCCTTTTCAATGTGTATATCAGGCACGTAGCCAGGATTTTGTTTCGGGGAGAGCCCACTCATGACAAAATGCTGTATGAAGGGGAGGGGGGAGAGGAGGTCCCAGCAAAATGGAAGATTTCGAGGGGGGCCCGGGCCCCATGGGCCTCCCCCCTGGCTACGTGCCTGGTGTATATTAATGATGTTGTTCAGCGAGATAGTAACGCAGTCTACGTTATCTATGCGGATGACATGAGCCTGTTTATTTCCGGATGGGATACAAATGAAATAATTTTAAAGGCTGAAAGGGAACTTTTGAAACTGTGGCACTGGTCCAATGAGAATGGTCTAAAAATAAATACAAATAAATCTAAGGCTATTTTATTCAAAACTACACATAAGCAGACGTAAATAATACACGATTTATTACTTGGTGATACTTCTATTGAAATAGTTAACAAACACAGGATCCTTGGAGTTACATTTTCTGCCAATATGACATGGACAGATCACATTGAAACTTTAGCTAAGTCCTTATCATCGGCGACAGGAGCCTTGTCACGATGTCAACAGATCCTTCCATATAATGCAAAACTTCATATTTATCATGCCCTATTCACTTCACACATAAATTACAGCACGCTCGTATGGGGCACGACCACAGCAGGAAACGTACACACCATCCTTGTTCTTCAAAAAAAAAAAAGCGATTCGATATATTGCTAATGTGCCACGATTACACTCAACCGCACAATTGTACACTCAGTATGGTATAATAAGCGTAAAAAATATATATGAATTTTGTTTATTGCAATCTTTGTTCTTGTCAAATGAAAGTTTCAACTCCTTTTCGAAAAGGACATTTGACTTATCGAAACAAATAAGTGACCCTCGCACCCCCAGCTGTGGCAGGTGGTTAGTGCCGCGCCGGCGCACTGAATACTTCTCGCAGTCGCTGACATATAACCTACCTTTTACTCTAAACAAGTATCTAGAACAAAATATTTACTTTGATACATTTACTAGAAAAAAAATGCGAGAATTTTTTTTGTAAACAACAGATGATAATGCATTAGACTATATCTTGTATATCGGAAAGTTTTGGTGTTGAAGCTTTTTTTTTTTTGTAATTTTTGCTAGAAAACAGGCCATGTGAGAAATTTGATCTGTCATTTATAATTCCCTCAACGGTTCATAATCTTTATATAGTCTTTGACATGTACCATATAGAATTGTATACATTTACATGGTGATTATGTGTACTCATATTGTTACGCGTCATATTTTTTGTATTTTTTTTCACAATATGTTGCTGTCTGTATGGGCCCCCAGGCACTCTGAAGCTGTCAATGACAGCTTTTTCGCCCGGGGAACCCCAACACTGCGTTGGAAATAAAAATTTAATTGAATTGAATTGAATTTAATATAAAAATCAAGATTAGGGCTGGGGTCGATTAAAAATGTAACCCAATTAATCGCTACTTTTCAATCCATTAGTTAATCTATTAACTGGATGTGTTGGTCTCAGGGCATAATAACTAAAACAAGGTCTAAAAACCCCACATTCTTTTTTGCTGTTTTTTACTATGTCGTCAGGCGCGGAATGTACCGCCTAATCTGAACCTTGACTCTGCACCGCCCACAAGAAGACAAAGGAAACGTGGGGGTGCTGACGTGCCCAACGAACGAAGGGCACCCTGGCATGCCCCCAGCGGACGATGACAAGCAACTGATATCTCAATTATACGGCGTCTTCCCCGCATATACGTAAAAAAAAAAAAAAAAATTGCGGGCAAACAGTTTTAGCAATAAAACATTTTTACATCCTTATAAATCACTCCGGATCAGTGCCTTAGGCTTAGGGAATTCTAAAGTGGTTTATCGTCGAATACGACAATACTACCTCCTAAAACTGATGGATGTGCACCAAGTAGTGAAGCGGGTATTTTTACTTTCTCCCCGGAATTACTAACTGAAAATTCAGCCGATTCACTGGATATAAAAATTAATCGCGATTCAGATAATAATTGATTGATCGCGCGAGTCAGATAGTAATTGATTGATCAAGAAATTCAGATAATAAATGATTGATCGCAAGGTTAATTAATCAGTCGCCCAGCCTTGATTTCAAACCAAACTAAGATGCCAAAATTTACAATTTCATTACCAAGCCTCGTCTAAACCAGGGAGAAACAAATATATATATATTTATATTGACCGCGAAGTTGAGACTTGGTAGTTGGATGAATCGCAACTTTAATTTCACGTTTTCTAACTCCGAAGTTGGGTGGGGTATTCCAGTACCACAAATAAATACAAACAGCGTGTCCAGAAAAAAAAAATAGCTTTTTTTTATTTACCGCAAAAATAAACTACGCATTGCCCAACGTCTGCGCCCTAATGTAGCGCCAGTGGTCAGGAACCAGATGCCAAAGTTTCAGAACTCGCAGTTATCTTAATAAAAAAATAAAAAAATAGTGATTTGTCGAAATGTTTTCTCTGGAAATGGGGCCCATTTTCGCTAGTTTGTGCCATTCAGCCCCATGTATTCGTTGGCACCGTCGACCAGAATTTTATCGTTGAATAATCCCGAAAATTGCATATAACTTTTAAATAAGATAACGATTCTTTCTAATAATTTGGCACCATGGTCCGGACTGGTAACGCTATATTTGGGCAGAGACTGGGCGTTTAGCGATATGTGGTTAATTTTTTGTGATAAAAAAATTGCAAACCAATTTATTCTATTGTTTATTTTTATTTTTTTTTTTTGGGGGGGGGGGCGTTTCTTTATGGTACCCAATAGTCAAAGCTTTCTACCCAACTAAACTATTCAAAATATGTTATCGCCTATTCAGTCGTGTCGTTGCTTGAGTATTGCTCCGCGTTAAAGAGCGCAGAAGATCAAAGCAAAGTTCTCCTGCCGTTGGAGAGAACGCTCTTGACAGACAGTGACCGAAACAGCAGGTTTCGAACTCACCGGTTGTGGGCTGCGAATTCCAACCGGATATCCAGCTTGGGTGACCTTTTGCTTCGATGGTGCTGATCCCGAAATGAGTGGTGATTGAAGAAGAGCGGCTCGAAGTGCCGGATGTGGTTGCTGAGCACCACGCCTGCGCGAAAAGTAAACAAAGATGGGTGTTGCCATTATTTTCGTTGTTGTAACACCGGTTTTAGCCCTAGCTCAAAGTCCCCGAAATAGCAACGATGGAAAGTGGTTAATTATCATGTACCGCATAGTCCAATACTGGAAGGGTGTAATTACTCCATGAGGTCACTGAGAGGTGGTGCACTCTCTCGTTAGTTCTTGGTGTGTGTGTGCGTGTTATGTGTGTGTACTTGTTTCCGTGTGTCTGTGCGCGCGCGTACCGAAGTTTCTAGCCACAGACGATTTAATTTTAAATTATCAGAAACATTTTCATAAAATGGTACACAGCATCCCACAGACTGAAAACAAACTATTCTTTCCTTTTTCTTCAAAATAAAATACTATTACGCTCGCAGTGCTACATATATGCTTGACTTTGCTTATGAAAAATCCAGCTGTAGAGCGGTACTTTTCACCTTTAGCACAAAGGTGCGCTGCGGCGAAGCAAGCTGCCCAAAATCGTGATGCCCAATTCGTGGTCGTCGCTTCACTGCAGTACACCGGTGTGCGGTGAGAAGTGCACTCAACGGAGCTAACTGATTCGCGAGTACAAACCGCGAACACGAGACGCTGTCGACGCTACGAACTGACGGGACCAATCAGACAGCGTCAAAACGCACACCATCATGGCGTTCGTCATGTTTCTGTTCGTGTTCTCTCGTCGCTGAACCATCGGTAAAAAGAAAACTTTCAGCCTTTCCACTGTGGTAAAGAAGGAAGACCAGCGAAGCTGTTCTATGGCGAAAATGAAGTAATAGCTGGCCGCAAGTCGGCAAGCCAGAGAGGAAAGGCTGGAAAGGTTGCCACAATCTATGAGCGAAGGCGGCAACCAGACAACCGGCCAGCCAGTTGTCTGGTTGCCGCCGTCGCCTATAGATGGCGGTAGCTTTCTAGAGTTTCGTGTCATCATTTGTTTGCTGCCGGACACGATACTGGGGAAACCAGCCCTTAACAGCTCCGCTGTAACAACGACCCAGTAACTCGCGCTTTTGACGCTCTGCTCGACCGGTCCCGTTTAGCTCGTAGCGTCGGCTGCGTCTGGACTTGAGCTGAAACCAAGTGGTTTCAGCTCAAGTACGATGACTGGTATTGTGTACGATGTGTCAGCACAAACTTCGTTTGTGCTGACACATCGTGCACAATACCAGTCTGCAGACTGTGTCTGATGCATGCTTCTTCCCTGTATAACAGTCCTGTCAATTTGTCCATACAGACACTGTCAGCGAAGCATGGACGCTGCCAGTACGGGGGCCTTCGCCTTTGTCAAGCTGTCTATGTGACAGCTTTTTCTGCAAGCCTCCTGCATCATGAATTTTTGGTGCAAAATAAAACATTATTATTATTATGATTATCATTATTATTATTATTATTATTATCTATAAAGGGAACATACTTCGAACATGGTTGAGGCGTCCATAAATTATTATGTCAACATGTATACTGCCATCGCCGAGTTCTTGTTTCTTTCTATATATATATATATATATATATATATATATATATATAATCCATCAGTAGTGAAGAGGCTCGTTCATACACTTGCAACCGAATGCGACCAACTGTCACAAGACCGGATTTTTAAGCCTCTTGCGATGGCTCACGATTGGACTGCGCTGCTGTGGAAAAGGCTTAAGAACTGCGTTCTTTTGTCTCACTCGGATGTATAGTCAAACGCAAAAGTGTGACTGGGCCTCGATTGCGACTTTAGTGTTTTCAAAGTTTGCTCGAGGTTACTGAAACGACCCGACCATGTTGCGGTACCTAGACCTATCATACTTTCGGTATTAAAAAAAGGGGAAACATATTGAGTTAAGATTCCTAATATTTTAGTGAAATGCAGCGGGACGTAGCAGGGTAAACGCTCTGACGCAGTTCGGCGGAAATGGAGGAGCAATCGTATCACCGCTAGCACCTATCGCATGGAAACGGGAAGCTGTCACATTCTGATTAAAAACACTCAGGAGCGAGTGAACGTAAGCAAAAATGTGGTTGTTTGAGATATCATCTAACTCTCCACTGCAAAATGTCACTTTTCTTTTTCAACCTGATTTTTTTTATTTATTTGGTGCCGTCATTTATTAACTTTAAAACGATCTAAAACCGAGACAAGTGACATAGTATAATCTGTGTTTGCTTTCGCTAGTTAAGCGGAAATTAATGCTCGTCGCGTTCTAAAGGCCACCAATCTACTGCAAATAGTAATAAATAAATTTAAAAAAAAAGAACGATCAACCGTATAGAGGAATTGATGCGAAAGAAAGACAGCAAAAGTGGGAAAAACTTTCGACAGATTAACTTGTTCCGAACCCCGTCACGCTTCCCAAATTACTTTTTTTTAATAGTTCTTTGTTTACTTTCTTTCTTATGGAAACAACGCTAACCACACCGGGCACGCGTTAAGCCGAGCGCGCGACTAGCACGTTATTCTCGGAATGACGTAATTAATTGGGACGGGTTGCTAACGGGTCCCAGAGAAACCGAGTTCGCAAAGCTCGCTGGCGGATATCAAATGATAGGGGCCCGGCGACAGCGTCCGCGAGATAAATCCCCCTCCCGCCCTCCTCCCCCCGGCCCTGACCACTATTCTTTTATAAACTGTCTGGCGCCCTGCAAACAGGTTTGAAAAACAACAACAAAAAATTACACGTTTTCGAGGGGCGCCCGCCGTATTTCGGGAACCCCGAATAGATCGATCGAACGCGAAATTAAATCGAGATTCTGGACCTACGCCGCAGCGCAAATATTGACCCGAGTGAAGGCCTCCGGGCGAAAGGTTCGAAGGGCCTGGTACAACTTGAGCGTCGCTTCAAAGAAGCATCGTTCCATCTCGCGACTCATCTCAAACAAGCGAGAGAGGAGCGTGCGCATACGGGGAGCAACCACCGTCGCCGCGGCACTCTTCGTTCCCTGTACGCCTCTGACTTCCGCGGGATGAAAAGTGAGTCGAAGGAAAAAAGGGGTTGCGCTCAGAAGCCACGGTTGTGCTACCAATACATCGTACAAGGTCACATGATCAGTATAGCCCCAAAGGAGGTATGGTACGTGTTTATATGATCATGACGTCAGGTGGCGAAAAGGAGGTGAGGGAGGAAGAGGGGAGTAGGAGTAGAAGGCAGGACGACGGGGTGAGGAGGAGGGAGCAGGGGTATACCCTCCCTTCAGTACCCTTCCCTCCTCCTCCTCAAGATCTGCGCTCTAATTCGGCGCTACAGGGCGTTATAAACGTCTTTCATTTTTTTCTCTACGCTTACTAGTAAAGAGTAGAACGCGACAAAAGAGCGCAGCAATTATGAACAGTAAACACCGCCATGGTGATAAAAGGAGAACGAAAAAATCCAGCGTAAGAAACGAGGTCAGTGAGACCTCAATGCTCGTCAGCACTGTCACATATCCGGCAGTCCGTAGCACCATTACTGCCGCCGCACTAAGAACAGAGACACATTCGCGCACGCGAAACCTCCATGAACGAAACGACCCGGAACCGCGCCAGCCCACCGCTGTACGAGATCCATTTCTTCTCGGCAACTTTTAATACTAACACGATGACTTGTTCCTGTCGCTACGCACTCACACGGGGAGCCTCCTTCGCTGCAGTGCTCACAAACCACGCAGGAAAGCTCGGTCTGCGCGTCTCTTCTCCCAACCCCGGCCCTCGGACTCCGGAGTCGGAAAGAAGATGAAGTGGCCGGCCATCCGGAACACGGGAAGGCCTTATCTATAGAGAAGCGGCGTGCCCGGTGTAACCCCCATCTGTATAGTCCCCTGGCTTCCTTTGAACGGACGCGAGATGGCGAGGTATCGTGGCGTGGCGTCGTCTCGTGCCATTACTGCCTCACGCCACCACCTCTACTGTTCTGACCCCCCCCCCCTCCCCCCCGGAAGCATTTGCCCGCAAATCCGGGATGGCTCTCGTTTGGCGGGGGTGGGTGGGCAGCACCACACAGTCGGGCCAACGTCCCCTCTCTTCCGCGATGGAAGACGGCGGCTAAGCTCATCATTTTGGGACACGCTATGCAACGCTCCGAATGTGCCGGCAGTAGCGGCGGCGGCGGCGACCCGCATGGAACGGCCACGGGGATCGGGGAAGAAAGCGTCCACGAGGGAGTCGTTTTCTCCCGGATTCCGGTCCCGGATGTGTCTCCGGTTTCGTGCGATGAAGAGGGATCCTCCGCCCCACCGCCCGCATTGCGCGGGGTCAGAGCAAAAGTTCTGTCGCTGGCGAGGAAAGCCCGACAGTTTCCGCATTTGCGTTGGAAGAGCGGGCTTCGGCGACGAACTCGACGCGTAGATTTGTGGGCTCGAACGAAATTGCGACAAAGAAGTATAAAACAAAATTTATGCAGTGTGCTTCCCCAAAAGGTTGGCCGAGAGTTATCCCGTTAGAACAACGCATCGTAGAGGCCGCACGGTTGACTTTCAACGTCTTGTCTGGGCAAATATTTCTCGTTTTCCCGTTGAAGTGGTACATATGTTTGATATAATTTAAGTTTGCAATTATTATTTAATAGTAAACACTTTAGGTAATGAAGGCAAGAGTGTATCTTGCATTAGGAGTCCGCTGAAGGACGTCGTACGAAACCATCATAAATTTACTTATAGATCTTTCCACCCTCCGTCGCCTGGGCGCTGCCATCTTGGAGTCGCGCGACGCAGCCACCATAAGGTGGCTTCCACTCGTCCATTCCGCGCCTTGGAGAATGTGTTGTATTCGTTCTTCTCGTCGCGTTTCACCGGGATTTCCGCGTTTCGCCGCTCTGCAAAGTGGCGTGTCATGCTTACACGTACTACATAATTCCATGTCATCATAAGGTGAACAACTTATGCACTTTACGTCGTCGGGGTACACGTGTGTGGAGACATAGTTTAGCACCGACGCACATTGAGTATAGACGCTTTCAGGCAGCTGTGCATGGGCGTCGCCTTAACCGACCTTCAGTTTTTGTTCCCTCTTATTCCGTTCGCTCC